GTCAGGATTTCATGGCGTACAGCGCGCTCCCGCTCGCCAGCCCGCTCACCATCCTCTCTCTGCTCGCTCGTCCGCTCCCTGGCCCGCTGCCTCCCTCGCCGGCTCACCAGACGGCAGACTCCACCGTGGTTTGCTGGTAACGGTCACTTACTGGATCACCGGCTCATTTGGCTGGCTTACGCGGTGAGCTCGCTCGCTGGGACAGTGGCTCAATGACTGGCTTGCTAACTCAATGGATGGCTCATTGGCTGGCTCGCTAAATCATTGGTTTGCTTGCTGATTCAATAACTGGCGAAATCAGTGGCTTGCTGTCTGCTCACTGACTTTTTGGCTGACCTATTGGTTTGTTTATATCTCGTGCATTGGTTCACTGGCTTGCTAGCCTGCTCACCATCTCATGGATCATTGGCTAACTTTCTGGCTCATTGGCTGGCTCACTGGCTCACTCATACACTTGCTTATACGCCTGTTGGCTGCCTCACTTTATCACACTTTTGCTGGCCGTCTTCCTTGCTGCACTGCTCAGGGGATGCCAGTTTCACCGCCTCAGCGTGCTCATTTTTTTGTTTTAAGACCGTGCCAAATTTTTGAATAACAGCATCGTTTTTTTATACAGCAGGCAGGGCTTAGAAAGATTGACATAGACGGCTGCATAGTTGGTGGTCAGTGTGGATGCCACTGAGCCAATTTGCACAGTTACAATAATAGTTGATGTGTTTACCCAGAAATGCTTCTCTATGCCTCTCCGTATCGGGCTGGCAGACTACTCAATTCACAGCTGGAAGGTTGATAGTTTAAGTCCCGGTCAGGGGTCGACCGGCCCCATCACCTCCTCAGGGATTGATCAAATAAGTCCCACTTTGTGGGAGGTGGCCGGGTGGATCAGAGGTCAGAGCACAGAGCCGGCACCGCTGAGATCCTGGGTTTGAATCCAGGGAGTTGTCCACGAATGAACCCAGTTCTCAAGTGTGCAGTAAGCCGATGGTCCCAGCACGGTAGCGAATTGCTGCACACAAAAACACCAACGCATGAACATTGCTTCCGCGCTTAACTTAGTTAAATTCCAGCTCTGAGCATTAACGTGTCGGCTTGACTGTGATGTGACGAACTTTACTTTCTGAGGAAGAGTGGGTGGGAACGTGATACTCCCTACTGTGTTGGATCAGAGGTCACTTGAAGAGCTCTAAGAAGTAGTTCTGTAATACAGTACCTGCTTCCGTGGGCCTTACTCAAATACTAAGGCACGTAAATTGATCTCTTCGCAAGCAATTTAAATAGATTCTTCATCTAGTGACAGTCCGCCTTTAGCACAATCTCGATGAAGTTTGGTTAAAAAAAAAGCAATTTTTTATTTCAATGGTTGTCATGTGGAGAGTTTGGCACTCGCCACGAAATGAAAATGTGGAATTTTCACCCCTGGGCTCAGGATCACCGATACGTAGTCAAGCACTTGAGAGGACAGACGCTTTCATTTATAACTAAACGAAAACGTATTTTTTTTTTACCAGGTAAGGCCTACTGAGCTGTACAGCTCTTTTCCAGAAGCGACCTGGCCACAAATTATAGCCCAACGAAGTGGCTCATGATGTGGAAATTTATAGCAGCCAAATACCCTAAGCGCACATTGATTATAAATGTGGAGGGAAAACCCGAAGGGCCTGAAGAAAAAATCCACGCGACCACGGGGAGAGAGACTATATGCAGCAGCAAGTGTCAGGGTCGGGATCGAACCCACGACCTCCTGCATATCAGGCGAGGGAGTTAACATGTCCGAGCCACGGTGATGATGATGATGAGAGAGAGAGAGACACCGCAAACTCCACATATACAGCAGCAGGCGTTAGGGTCGGGATCGAACCCACGACCTCCTGCATACCAGGCGAGGTAGTTAACATCTCCGAACCACCGTGATGATGATGATGATGATAATGAGAGAGACACCGCAAACTCCAAATATACAGCAGCAGGCGTTAGGGTCTGGATCGAACCCACGAACCTCATGCATACCGCGCGAGGGAGTTAACATCTCCGAGCCACCGCTCCAGTGTATTGAGGCCGGAGGCGCCGGGCGTCTGCTCGCACGATCATTCCGCCCGTCACGCTAGCGGGCAGCGCGCGCTGCCGGGACTCAGGTGCGTGCCGAGGGATTCGCGGAGGATGGCTGGAGGTTTTTTTTTTGTGTCTCGGGATGCTAAAGCGATCGCACGGCTGCCGTCCGCGCGATGCATCCGTCCGCTAGAAGCCAGAGAGGCAGCTCTGGGAATCTCCACGAGGAGCTGCCAAAAAAAAAAGCACGAGACAAATAAAAGACTGCGAGATAAATGGAGGGGAAGCCTTCCAAGCCTTTCAGCACCATCGTCCGGAGTTGGTGATGCACAAGCTGCTCCAGGTCTCGAGGTGACTCAAAGACAGCCCTCCTCCTTCCTCCTCCTTCTACTCTCAGCGCCCATTGCCAGAAGTAGCCTCGCGTTTGTTGCCATCGTCACCCAGAAGGCGCCCGATATTCGTAAGAATTCGCAAGCTAAGCAGCGTTGATCGTGGACAGCGATGGGTTGACCACCAGGTTGCCATCGGCAGCAACCGTGCCACGCCGCGCGGTTGACCAGCAGAGGGCAGTGGAGCAACAATTTCAATTCGACACTTCAATGTTGCCGTATCTGTGGTCACCCAACCGTCAACAAGCGCACGGATTCGGCCCGGTGAAGTATGGTCAAATGACCTTCACAACTCGCACGGTGTTTGGGAGGCCGTCACGCAGCAGTGGCGAGAATGGGGTCGCGAGCGGTAAGTTGAGGAAGCATGTCGCCATGCCTCTCACGTAATGCGAGGTTGCCGAGTGGCGACGAGAGGCTTGGGGTGTGGGGGGTGGGGGGTGAGTGTCGCACGGCTGAACACGTGAGTCGAGTCCATTATAATCTTAGCTCTTTCGGTAAAGTCACGTTGAAGGGAAACAATAAAGTAATAAAATATATATAGTCTAACTCAGGGATCGACGAGAAAAATATTAACAAGAAGGGACAGTTTTTTTTCGAATTCGGAATCACACAAAAACTCAACTCAATATGTCAAAATTGCACTGTGTGGTGAATACGATAGGGCTGAGCGATTAATCGATTTCAAATCGATATCGCTATTAGATATTTCCCCCAAATCTTGACTTAAAGTTTCCGTGACTGCAGGAACCTATCAACGTGACTTTACCGAAAAACCCAAAGAATATTTCCCCAAATCGTTCAGCTCTAGAGTATGAGACTGCGGTGGTCCTTGATAATAATAATAAAAAATAAGGTCACGAAGCAGTGATGGAGGAGCCACCGCATGCCGCACCGGAGCCGAAAATCTGTCGGCCCCCCGGGTCTAACTACTTGACCAAGTAGATACACGCCATCACCTTTGCTTAGCGATGATGATGATGATGCTGCTAATGATTATTATTAACGGGTGACCGCATAAAGTGGCGCAGCTATTGAGTGTGCAGGCGGTGGAACTGCACCTTGGGGCCCAGGGGAGTGAGTGGCCCAGGTGCTGGGCTACGATAACGTTGGGGGATGGGAGGGTGGGAGGAGGACGGGGGTGGCACATGGGGGTGGGGGAGGGTGGGAGGAGGACAGGGGGGTGGGGGGGGACATGGGGGTGGGGGGGGACAGGGGGGGTGGACAGGGGGGTGGGGGGTGGACAGGGGGGTGGGGTGGATGCCCGTTTCGTTCCTCACACCCAGGGCCCACGTCAGCCACGCTAGCCGCTGACGGGCTGGAAGCCCCTTTCAGAGGAGGCAGCTTGCCCCCTCCCAAGCGTCTATTTCCATGGCTTCCTAAAATATAAAACATATATAACTCAAAAAATATATACGCAAGTGTATAAATTTATTTATTTTTTAAATCTAAAAATTATATTTTATATATCAAAATATATATGTAACAATATATTGAGATGTTGTTTTTGCCTGGATGCTTGCGTACACTCCACCACTGTGCGAAGTGGGAGTTTAATGCGCTAAATCGCGTAACATTTGCCCTGTGATAGCACGATGCCAGCGACAGCGAGTGTTGTTTGTCATTGTGCTATCACCACACTTTCCCACTACCGTCAGCCCACCTTGCAGCGGTCGTTAAGAGGAACGTGGTGTGTGGCCACGCTGACCCGTGGGCCTGCGCGCATGTTGTACATGCCGCCACGTGGATCGAAGACTGGGGAGCGCGCAAGGGTAGCGAGCATGGAGAGGTGCGCGCGGTTGGAGTTCGACCGAGGGACGGGAAGTTGGAACACGTGGGTAAGAGAAGTGGTTCCAGACCTGTGGTCAGCGGCATGCTGGTGGCACCGCGAGATCTTAGCAAGTGGTGTGCGGAAACTTTGCAGGCGTTGAACGTCGTTCGCACCGCCACGTAGCCATCCGTGCTAATCAGGAGGTGTGGTACTTACGACTCATTACACATCATTGCCTTACATGCTAATGTTCCTTTTGATCGAAGAGAATGAACAAGAACCGTACAACAATGAGACGATGCTCGCGAAAACAAAACTACATTGACTCTTGCATGGAGTTTGTGACAAATCAAATCAACCTGCCGTGATTTGGGGGATGCTCACCGAAAATTGTCCTGATAATCCGCAAAAAATGGAATTGGCCAAACGGCGGCGTCTGTTGAGTTGGAAGATGAAATGTGCGCGTGGGCAGATGGGGCCCCTAAACACGACCGCAGGTGGATTGTACGGACTGCCTATGGAGATAGAATGTGTTTTATCCTAAATATAGATCCAGTGATAAGTTTCAGATTAATACATTTTTGGACATCCGAGCCCCCTCCCTTCACCCCCCTCGCACTGGCAAGCGTGGTGAAGTATGGTGAAACAACCCCCCCCCCCTCCACATTACTGAAAGGAATGGAGAGGACTTCATGTAGCAGTGAAATTATACAATACTTTAAATAATGCTTTTTGTTATTTTGAAGGATGTTTTATATTATTATTTCCAATCAAATAAAATAACATACCATTTCAAATCAGGATAAAGTTTTTTTTATTTTATTTCAACATTCGTAAAATATAGTATTTTGTATTTATTCCACATACATTGAATTATAAAGCTATTGCAAGCAATTAGCATCACACAATAATCTTAACTGCAACAAAAGGCATAATTAAAACAAGGAATAAAAATAAAATAAAAATAGGCCTCTTGAAACAAAACAGCATCAATCGTTAACAGATCTGCACATCATACAGAGAGAATAACCCTTCGTCAAAGACACGTTCCAAAAATATAATCTCGTGACCAGATGTCAAGGGGGAGTCGTGGCGCAATGATTCACGCACTGCACTATGAACCTGCTGACCCGAGTTCAATCCCGAGCCACGGCTAACGTCGGTGCCGAGTGATATCCGAACCGGTCCTGGGCGGCTCCCTCCCCCAGCCCCCTTCACCACCAACCTGAACACGACCAGCGTGGTGAATGGTCAAACAACCCCCAGTGTGGGGGAAGGCGTCGATCCCGAGGGTTGCGTTTGCGACTGACCAACATCGGCACACTACGGATTGCTCTCGCGAGGATTGCCACGGGCCCTTTAAAGTACACGGGCATGCATTGGTACTGCCGGTGTTGTAAAGTCTGCTGCCAATAGTTGATTGTGACCTTCCGCATTGCCTGGATGTATTTTCTCTCACCCGGAATCTGTGTGTTTGTCTTGCTATATACTGTGGCTACATTTTAATGTTTAAATATTGGCTGGATAGTCTTTCCCGAGCTGAGGGGCTGATTGAGGACTTTCAAATACCTTTGGTGGGCAACCACGCACACACCTCAGTCTCCTCTGTTACTGCAACAGACCCCTGTAAGTCACTGCAACTGGCCCTTGTAGTCACTGCAACAGGCCCCTGTAAGTCGCTGCAACAGGCCCTTGTAGTCACTGCAGCCGCTCCTTCTAAGTCACTGCAAGAGGCCCAAGCAGCAAAATAAGTGACTTGAGCGTGGAGCTAAAATTAGAAACTCAATGTTGATGCCAGGTGAAAAATATTCCCTTCTTGTACCCAATTAATCGAGATAAGATGATTGCAGTGATGGAAAAAAAAGTTATTGGATCATTTATATTTCCTGGCGAACCGTATTCGTACGACTCGCAGCCAAAAATGTCTCCCAAGTGGCGACGTTAACACGTGACACCAGGTACTCATTCGAGGGAAGCTGAGTCGACCTAGAGGAGGCCCGGGACCAGTTCAGCGAATTGTCACCGGTGTTGGCCCGTGAGCGTCAACGGAACTCGGGTCGCAACCACGCCAGAGGAGACGCGGCAGCGACGGCGGCGACGGTGACGCTGCCTGTGTGCTGAGATCGGCGTGGGCCTCGAGACGAGCGGGACAACTTCTCCACGGGGGGGGGGGGAGGGCAGCAGTCGCGGGGCGGACCACGTGGAACGACTCCCGCATCGACTTCGGCACCCAAAGTCAGCAGGTCAAGGGTTGTTCAAGCTGGCCACGTGGCGGTGAGCCACGATGCTGGACGACTGCGGGCGCGGCACGGAGGCCGACCGTGCTCGACGAAAGCTCCCCGTGCTGTGCGAAAATCTCGCAGCGGGCGACCTGTGAGCGCTGGAAAGGGCATTTGGCTCTGGTGGACGGGCGCGAAAGGCAAAACGAAGCGGGTCATTTGAAAGCGTCGGGCCCCGCGTTGGCGGTCGAGGCCGTGGTGAAATGAAGTCACGCGCTGGATAGGTTTAGGGCATCGCGCGCAAATAAATGCGCGGACATTCCAAATTCAACTATTCGAGGCAAACTAAAGTGTTGCACTGGAATGATTGCATGCATTTCTGTCAATCAACTTTTACAAATTGAATTGATCATAATCCATTTGTGTTACGTTTTAAGTAGTTGCAAGCGGATGTTTTTGTTGTTGTAAATAATGTAATTGTGTTATCCCATAAGAAGAACTATAGGGGCCTGGCTGATTTCACAATATATTTTAATGAATGCTTAATAATTTTATATAATCGAGATGTGCAACCTGTGCACTACCACCAAAACAACAATTTACTTTAGTTTTCTATGTCAGGATGAATTTTCACGGTGCTTCTCTAACTCAACGAGCTTTACACTCTTTCACCACGTTTACCACCTGTCAGATGTTGGGATTGTAACGACCTTCGGCAATGTCGCTGGAAAAGATCGGTGAACGTGGAAAGGTAGACCAATGTTCGGGTGGTGAAGGTTTTGGAATTCCTGTGTAAGCAAACCGTTTTTTTTCTCGTGAACATAAAGCAACGAGTTCAAATCCCATCGCGAGACTGCTCGCTAAAGATATTTGCCTCAACTATATTGCCAAAGGGACCCTTTTTAACCAAATAAAAATAATAATGTTCTGTAAGGCCAGGAAAGTTATTAACAGCACACTTGAGGACATCTCTTCATTTTTTTATCTCTCAAAATTTGGCCCAAGATGGAAAACTTATGTTACAGTGTGCCACAGAGTCCGATACTTGGCCACACTGGCAGAGCCTTTCCGGATCCGTCTGTTCCCAGAACCCTCACAATTTATCACTGGGCAGTTTGGATTCCCAGCAGCAGTTTGAGATTCGTGTTGTTTTCAGCTTGAATTCTTTCGACAAAGAGCACTGCTCCGAGCTTTAATGGGCTGTGATGATTTGGTAGCAGGCCCATAACTATTTTTTTCTTTTCCCAATCACCAAGGGAGACTAAACGTTTTCAGCTTAAACTTTGGTCCAAGGGTATTTAAATTTCCACAGAAAGAGAGGCTAGTTGTTATTCCCCCCCCCCGTCGCCCCAATTTTTTTATTATTTCCTTCTCCTTTTCCATACTTTCAGCCACCTTTCCATCAATTCCGTTAGTTTTTCATTATTGGTAAACGTTAGTCCAATTAAGCAGTTTGCAAGTTATCTCGGCAGTAAGCTTCTCAACTCAGCTGTACGAAAAGACACGTGTATTGTTAGTATTGCTTTAACAAAGCAGGCGATGACAAACCGCACACCTGTGAACTTCAATCTCCTCTGTGACATCGGAATGAGGGAGGAGCTAAACCCAGTGTACGATTACATTATCGTCAAAAGGTAGTTTTAACTTGTATGATGATGTGGGAATCGACGTTGCGCAATATATTAGCTGGCACCCCATGGTGACAGGTCCCGCCTCTTCAGGGGCATCTGTGACCCATCTGTTCGTAAACCACTTCACTCAAACCTAATAAAACCTCAAACATAAAGTGTTGGGCCAAAAATCCCAGACAAGTTTGTTTCTTAATGTTTACTGTGAAACGGTCGAAGCACCTGGCGTTTTAAGGCCCTCTCGCACACTCGGGCAAGTGTTCCCTGGCTGGTGGCAGAGCTTCTTGTACTAAACAGGACTTGTATATTTTATTGCAAGAGGCAAGGCAGGCACGACAACATTGGAATACCAGAACCAACGTATTCAAAATAACACGATTGAATGGCGACGTCAATCATCGTTCCACGTCAGGTAACATGAAGCACTTAAAAACCTCGCGACCTATAAATCAGCCAGCTGATCATCGGGATAACCGCCACCGGTTGAAGCCGGTGGCAAGTTGTCGCTGCCGACAATGGAACAGCAAATAAATCATAAGACGTAGGAAAATCCGCGGCCGTGCACGGGCACACTTTGTTCCAGCGCTTGGCTAAAATGCGTTGCAGGGTTTTTGTTGTTGTTGTACGTCGTCAGTCTGCGATGGCCGCAGGCAGGTTTCTCACGCACGTTTGAGGTCCTCCAGGAAGTGTCGTTCACTGTAGAAGGGCTCTTAGTGCTGGCTCCAACAGACGGAGGTTCAAATGTCCACGGCAGGAGGATCACTTGACCCCATGCACCGTTGGGGGTCACCCAGTAGCGCGTGTAGCGTGGTTGGCACGGGCCCTGGCGCAAGCAGTGAAATGGGGGCCTCCACGTGTCCGCCTTTTCCCTTCTTCGTATCTCAGAATTTGTGCCCCGTCAAGCCCACGGGGCCCCGGTGCAATTGCACCGCCTGTGCACTCGACAGCTACGCCGTTGGGGTGGCGACAAAGACGCACGCGCGTTCGCGATCACACGCGGTGCGTTCCCGTGTGTCACGGGAGTCCGTTGCGTCAGCATTTTATACCGTCCTCTCTATTCGCGAGTGTCCGCAAATTGCCGTGGGTTTCCGAGAAAGGTAGCGTCCGTCCAGGTCATCGCTGGCTGCAGCCTTTCCTAGGAGCATCCCTGCCCTGCCAAGAAACCCACAAACGCACACATGCAACAGAAACAAAGACACTTTACCACGGCTGCAGTTGTGTCACCAAAGGCGTGGACGTGCGTTTTGGCTCTTGAGCTATCGGTTGTCGTTCCTGTGCCATTGTTTCAGAGTGAGGCCTTCAAATTGTCCTTTGGCAAGGAAGACTTGTACAAAACTCGGTGTCAACCAAGTACTCAGTTCAGCGCAGATGCTCAAGCGATCTGACCCAAACGCACCGCGCCACACGTACGAAGAGCAATCACATGGCAAAAGCAAAATACATCGCTGTTGTTGACGTACAGCGAGTTCATTAGCGTTTTAAAAGAGCTTGTAAATGTACACAGGAATACTACAGACACGAAAAACATATTTCCTCGCAATCTTCATTATAATGAAGGATGCAGATACCAATACACTTACGAAACAATAATATTATTAAATGACAACCCCCCTTTTCTCAGTGCACTGGAAGATGGTGGCCTTTTCAATTATTTTCGGTCTTGGGGGTTGCTTGACCATACTTCACCATGCTGGTCAGTGTGGGCTGGTGAAAGGGGAAAAGGGGCCACTGATGATGATAGCCGTAGCACGGTACGGGACTCGCCAGATGAATATTGCAGTGTTACCAACTGCTGAACCACCGCTCCAATCCCCGTATACTTATGTAAACGTTATACTGTACGACAAATTAATGCAATAATCTTTTTGCATTTACCTGCTTTAAAACAGGTGTTGTAATTAAAAGAGATTCATGTTTTAGCGTTTGACATTAAAAATAAAACCTTCCATCTCATGAAATGTGTTTCTCCGTTAGACGTCATTAATGCTTTCATTGATTGGTACATATTTTTTTTTGTTATGATGAAATCTCCCGTGAGAATGGGGTGTGTATGACGTGAGATTGTCTCGTGGCGGTGTGAGACTACGTTAAGGGTGGCCTTGCACTGCAGGACATGCGAGTCCAGTCTATAGTCGGACCACTGTACTCGACTCCGTAAAATGCATGCGTATTGTGTAAACTCAAGCACCGTGGACTTATCAGTGGGAGACCGGTTAGAGTGGCGTAGCTATCGAGCGTGCAGACGGTGCAACTGCAACACCAGTGTCCACGGGCCAGCAGTACCCAGACGACTGACACGAGGACTGACCACGACCGATGATGATGATGACCATGTTGGCGGCTGTGAATATTGAAACTAACCCAATTTTCACAACACCCTACAGAGAGAGCAGTGTTCTTCACCGATTTTCAGAGGTGGGGCTACTTTCGCCGATAAGACATCGGTGTGTGAGGGGCGCCACACGTTTGAAACCATTGGGGTTGTGACAGCATGATGGGGGGGGTGTTTTCACATTCCTGTATTGTCCTCGGGGGGTTGGGGGGGCCGCACATCAGAGGCCGCACTGACGGCCACACCAAGGGCCGCCAGAGGCCCAGCGGGCCTTGCAACGGAGAACACCGATCTAGAGAGAGTTGCATCGATTGCTTTGCGCTTTGCCATGTGCACGATGTACACGGCGGAGCTCACAGCAAGGTTGTGTCCCTACGTGTCGTCAGTGCCCCCTGGTGAACCCAGCCCATAGTGCTTCCAGCGCGGGATCACAGACGACGAGGGGAAAGATCCGCGAACGAAAAATAAAGCAGCAGGCGCAATAAAAGTGTCCCGAATGTTCATGACCAAGAAGACAAAGAACCCTCGCATCGTCTTAAGTGCCGCATTTGTCTTCTACCCAGTGGTTATGTTCCACACACCTCACCAGGTACTTGTTTGAGGCTGAGTCGACCTAGATGAGGCCCAGGACCGGTTCAGATAATCGTCTCTGGTGTTCGTGGCCGTGGGTGCGAATCGAACTCGGGTCGCCGGGTTCGTTCGCGCAGCGAGCTAACCGCTGCACCACCGCTCCCCAAGCAGAATATTGATGTTAATTAATACATCCATCATTATCAGCCAAGGTCAGCCCACTGCTGGATGAAGGCCTACCATGAAAGCCGCCGACCTGAGTTTGACTGCCGGCCACAACTAACTGTTGCTGTCTAAACAGGTCCTGAGCCTCCTCCTTTACCAACCTGCGCTGACCAGCGTGGTGAAGTATGGTCAAGGAACCCCCAACAACAGACGCAGCAGTTTATTGATAAATAATTGAGAATTACACTATATATGGCATGCATGTTATATTTACATAATACTACATACATTTAATTCGCCGTTGGTGTTATGTATTAAACATATGTACATCGCTATAGACATGCAGCGCTTGGCCGCTCCGTATTATATTCATAACCTCTGACACTGCAGTGCTCCCACACCCCCACGGGCCACCTTAGGTCACACAAATGCACATGTAAATCATCCTACAGACCGAGCTCGGATTTCAATGGACAGAGAACCAACTGAGGCGAGGCAAACACATTGAAAAATGTGCTAATTTGAAAACTCCAAAGTCTGGTTTCTGAGATCCCCCACCATGAATGATATACACAGAGATAAACACACGCACACCACACTCTCTTTGGCGGGGGGGGGGCGGGGGGGGCTGTAATTAATAACTGGGTGATTGTTATTGAAATGGATCTGGGTCGAGTGTGGTTAGGCACGGGAGGAGGGTTTGGATCATCACCCTCCCGGGGCTAATGGGTGCCCCGTGTCACGGTGCCAGCTGTGGGGGTATGTTTGGGAGAAAACTCCTGGCGTTACGTGAAGACAAACGAGCTGTCGACACGTGTACCAACCGACTGCCCCTATCGTGATGATGATTGGATTGCGTGATATGATGATGATGACGTTGATTATTGATTGATATATGAACGTGATGACGCGGATTTATGATTTTCAATCGTTAACAAACGATTTTGGTTAATGTAGAGTGTTTTTCGATGATTGATGTCTGATAATTATTTGTATAATCGATGATGAAGATGATGGATGGATTATCATGGTAGATGTGTGTCATGTATTATTATGATTAATATGAATATGTATGACTGAGACTGATGAATTACTGATAATAATTAATGTGTATTATTATTAATGGTGATGTTAATACAGACGCTAATGATGATGGCAATGAATGTGTATAATTGATGATTGCTAATTGATTATTATGATATCAGCCCACATTGATATTAGCACATACAGTGAGGGAAAAAAGTATTTGATCCCCTGCTGATTTTGTACGTTTGCCCACTGAGGAAGAAATGATCAGTCTATAATTTTAATGTTAGGTTTATTTGAACAGTGAGAGACAGAATAACAACAACAAAAAATCCAGAAAAACGCATGTCAAAAATGTTATAAATTGATTTGCATTTTAATGAGGGAAATAAGTATTTGACCCCCTCTAAATCAGAAAGGTTTCTGGCCCCCAGGTGTCTTTTATACAGGTAACGAGCTGAGATTAGGAGCACACTCTTAAAGGGAATGCTCCTAATCTCAGCTTGTTACCTGTATAAAAGACACCTGTCCACAGAAGCAATCAATCAATCAGATTCCAAACTCTCCACCATGGCCAAGACCAAAGAGCTCTCCAAAGATGTCAGGGACAAGATTGTAGACCTACACAAGGCTGGAATGGGCTACGAGACCATTGTCAAGCAGCTTGGTGAGAAGGTGACAACAGTTGGTGCGATTATTCGCAAATGGAAGAAACACAAAAGAACTGTCAATCTCCCTCGGCCTGGGGCTCCATGCAAGATCTCACCTCGTGGAGTTGCAATGATCATGAGAACGGTGAGGAATCAGCCCAGAACTACACGGGAGGATCTTATCAATGATCTGAAGGCAGCTGGGACCATAGTCACCAAGAAAACAATTGGTAACACACTACGCCCTGAAGGACTGAAATCCTGCAGCGCCCGCAAGGTCCCCCTGCTCAAGAAAGCACATATATATGCCCGTCTGAAGTTTGCCAATGAACATCTGAATGTATCAGAGGACAACTGGGTGAAAGTGTTGTGGTCAGATGAGACCAAAATGGAGCTCTTTGGCATCAACTCAACTCGCCGTGTTTGGAGGAGGGGGAATGCTGCCTATGACCCCAAGAACACCATCCCCACCGTCAAACATGGAGGTGGAAACATGCTTTGGGGGTGTTTTTCTGCTAAGGGGACAGGAAAATTTCACCGCATCAAAGGGACGATGGATGGGGCTATGTACCGTCAAATCTTGGGTGAGAACCTCCTTCCCTCAGCCAGGGCATTGAAAATGGGTCGTAGATGGGTATTCCAGCATGACAATGACCCAAAACACACGGCCAAGGCAACAAAGGAGTGGCTCAAGAAGAAGCACATTAAGGTCCTGGAGTGGCCTAGCCAGTCTCCAGACCTTAATCCCATAGAAAATCTATGGAGGGAGCTGAAGGTTCGAGTTGCCAAACGTCAGCCTCAAAACCTTAATGACTTGGAGAAGATCTGCAAAGAGAAGTGGGACAAAATCCCTCCTGAGATGTGTGCAAACCTGGTGGCCAACTACAAGAAACGTCTGACCTCTGTGATTGCCAACAAGGGTTTTGCCACCAAGTACTAAGTCATGTTTTGCAGAGGGGTCAAATACTTATTTACCTCATTAAAATGCAAATTAATTCATAACATTTTTGACATGCGTTTTTCTGGATTTTGTTGTTGTTCTGTCTCTCACTGTTCAAATAAACCTACCATTAAAATTATAGACTGATCATTTCTTTGTCAGTGGGCAAACGTACAAAATCAGCAGGGGATCAAATACTTTTTTCGCTCACTGTATGGTGGTGATGATGTTGATGATATCAGCCCATATTGGTTCCCTTACAGAGCTTCCCAAACGTTACTCCTCCCTGGCCATGTGTACCACTCAGCACCTTCACCGTGTCATGAGCCCGACTGCCATGAGCATGCTGGGACATTGAAGAGCGCATTTAAAGTGAACGATTATCCTTTTATCGTCCTTTTAAATAAGCTGACAACTTTAGCGCTTGAGCAGGTGCACATTTGAACTGTGTAATTTTGAGCTCTGTGATAATAACACACACGTATAATCGTTACATTTTAATAATAAGATAAATACGGAGTATGTCTCCGTCTCTGTAAATAAAAAATCATGTATTTCTTAAACAACTCATCAGCCGCATGGCCTTCATTATGGCAGTGAATAATATCAGCAGCATCAAGACAAGCAAACTAGGCCGGTTTCGACAGTGTCTCATCAGTCAGGCTTGCTTGAATTAATGCTGGTGAAATGCTTGTCATTATCGGCAATGACTCTAACCCCTTACAATATGGGTTGTCTGTTGGGCGCAAAAAGTTACATCGTGATACACAACTCAAAATATTCATTAGAGTTGTTGTGAAGAATATAACTAAGGTAAATGATCAGACAATATGTTCAGTGATGTATTAAATATAATAGGGCGTTACAAATTGTAATAACCGCATCAAATGTTGGAGTCAATTGCAAAATTGTATTATTTGGGTCTTTCGGTAAAGTCACGTAGATTGGATCGAAACGTCGTAGTTTTATTTTTTTGTTATTTTCTTTGAACCTATCTACGTGACTACCGAATGACCCAAAGAATCTGAATTCCAAAGTCACGAAAGCTTTAAGTCAAGATTTAACTGCCTAATTATAATTAGCGGGAAACTTTGCGTAACCCTTTTAATATTTAAATGTGGATGTACAATGTAGGTATTGTACTATTCACAGGCGTGTATGTTGCATCGACAGGGCCCCGTCCTTTAGAGATTGTGCTCTGACCAATAACATTTGGTGAACCAGTGATATTTGTTCCGGAAGCCTGACTCTGCTGATGAGACCTAGAAGGTCAAAACCGGTCGAATGTCTCATGTTTTTATACTTAGAACAAATGCTGCTGGTTAATAGACTACGTTTAGAAGGCCGATAAGGCTAAACAAACATTTCATTTTTGGGGGAGATTTTATTTCTGTTTTGTTTTAACGGTGTACGATGTGCACTGTATGTTGATGCATATATATCTATATTGAAAGTTACATCATTATTCCATGATCGTTTTATAGTTCCCAAATTTGCAGTATTACCGGCTGTCCATCGTAAACACAACCCCAATCACTATATAAACGTATTGTTGTGATATTGAGGTCACACCGCTGTGGAGATGACGCGATGTGCAGGGACGAGGCGGATTGTGGCATTCATGCCGCAATGGATTGACCATGGCTGCTGCTGATGATGATGATAGGACATACAGACCTCTTAACTGTTATTAAACAATTTTTTAGCGATGTATTGTTTGAGATTACAAAAAGCCTCTTTGCGTAGGCCCTATACTGTTTAGACCGTGTATATATCTTCTTCACCATCATTGCAAGCAGGTGATCAGGCATAGGTTAGAAAAGGTTCCTCTACCATCCACAACATACAGACTGTCAATCAGATTTACGGGAATGACGAACGAGTCTCAAACACCTTTATACGGTTTATGTATCTTATTACAACGAATCTAACGCCTCATAAAAACGTTTGTTCACAAGTGATAACATTTGTGTTAATTAGTGAAATGTGTATGCTTAGAAGTGTTAGTTGCATACACATTCACAATAACTAGTAAACAACAATACTATTATATGAAGCACTTGTCATAAAGTTTTAGACAAGTCGGTCAGCAACCTTATAATAATGTGTGTACGTATAAAGTCTGGCAATTAGTAGTGGCATTTACACAGTTTACTCAACCTTCAATGAAAAATCGTACACGCTTTGTCCTGCCTTGTAACATAAAAAAACAACAACAGCTTAACAATATCGGCTAATGGCCCTGACTATGGAGTCCCAAGAAGGATCTGAAGAGGGATAATTGCTCGAAACGTTAGTTGGATATTTTGTGGTAAAAGACAATGTTCGTTAAAGTGTGCGCCATTGCAATGCCCTCCAGGTTAACCTTTTGAGTTAAGCATGAACGCGCATAGAGGTGAAAACATGTGAACACACAAACACATATACCTCGAGCACTAACACATTTACAAATAATTTGCATACTTATTTTCAATCGACTGCTGGATGAAGACCTCCTTAAGCAGCGCCAGTTCTGGGGTGGGATTGCTTGACTGTTTGACCATACTTCACCACGTTGGTCAATGCAGCCAGGACCTTGTTCAGGTATCACTCGCCACTGATGCTATCCGTAGCTGGGAATCGAAAACTCAATCAACACAGTGCGGTAACCACTGCCCCACCGCCTCTACTGCAAGCGTAACTCAACACTTTCAGCCCAATGTCAATCTACTGCTAGATGACGCCCTCCCCATGCCGTGTCGGTTACGGGGGTTGTTCACGGCTAACATCGGTGATAGCTTAACGCCTCCTGAGCCCAACTTCCCATAAGCCACAGTGACCAGCGTGGTGAAGTATGGCCAAACAACCTCCAAGCACTAAATGTTCGCACACAAAACAATTTCACCGGTGATGTTGGCCATGGCCACGGCCAACATCAACAGTGGGCAAATGCAATCAGAACCCGGCCCCGTGCCCTTCTTCCCGTTCGTCATTACAGCACTCGTGGCAGCACACAGCAACTTATAGACATCGGCACCGCGTGCGAGGGCTTCATCTCACCACTCGGCGCTGGTCACTCAGACAGAAGGTGCAGATAATCCGCGGCTCCCCTGCGCAGATACTCGCCGCGGTCGACGCCGCCGCTGCTGTCGACCCCTGCATCGCTCGGGTGACCTGCACGCCTCCTCCTCCTCCTCCCCCTCCGCCGTGCTGCTGCTGCTGCTGCCCGCAAGGCTGCCCGGCCAGCAAGGTGTTGCCCAGGTGCGCGATGTAGCTTGACGCCAGCAGCAGCGTCTCCAGCTTTGAGAGTTTTCTGTCGGCTGGCTCGGTGGGGATGAGGGTCCGCAGCGCCGTGAAGGCGGAATTCACGGATTGCGTTCGGTCCCTCTCGCGGGCATTGGCCGCTCGCCTCTGCGGCCCGCACGGCACCATCACCTCCTGCTGCTGTTGCTGCTGCTGCTGCTGATTATGATGATGATGCTGCTGCTGATGATGATGGTTATGATTGTGTTGCAGATGCAGGCTCGTGCTGCTCCACTGATGCGCGCGTCTTCCCGACTCCTTGCAGCTCAAGTCGTCTTGGCTCGGGTTGTTGCAGTCACCGATGTCTTCCTCGGAAGCGCCGCTGCTGTTGCTGTCTCCCGCATAGCCAGCAGCAGCTGCCGCAGCAGCGGCCACGGACTGCAGCTGTAGGTCGGTCTGAAGCAAGGGGCTTTGGTACAGCGCGGCGCGGAACATGGCTGCATTCAAACGCGAGAGAGATGATGCTGCTGATGATGATATTGATAGTGACGGTGGTGGTCGTGGTGATGATGATGATGACAGTGCTGATGATGGTAGCGATAACGGTGCTGCTGGGTGATGACAATGGTGATGGCACAAATGATCGTGATACTGCTGCTGATAGTTGGAGTGGTGACAATAATGGGGCTTTTCACGATAGCAATGTTGATGATGATGATCTCAACGACGTAGCATCCGCGGTGCGATTCTAGAGAGTGTGCGTGTGGTTGCGACGCTGGTTGTGCCGTGGTTTTAGCCCCACACACACACACGCGCGTGCATCGACTTTCTCCGAGATGGATTCTGAAGAGAGAGAGAGAGAGGGTCCCGGTGGCGGGGAGGGCTTGCGTTCACTGCCGCTGGGAGCTCAGTGGGGGGAGGTGAATATATAGATGGGGCTGGCCGGGCGAGCGTAGCACGGCTCCACGTGGATTCATCATCAGACACGTGTGTGAGGCCAGCCACGGGGTGACGTTTCGGTACGCTCCTCCACCGCCGTCTATCGCTTTGCGGTGGAGCTGCGGAACGCACGGTTTGGGTTGGGGGGGGGGGGGGTAGCACGCAGCGCAACGAACCCCAGCCACCCAGGTTCGATACCCGCATCAGGGTCACGAGCGTCATCGGTGACAAGTGATAATCCGAACCGGTTCTGTGCGCACCACCCCCTCCCACCAACCCACCCACCAACCACCACCACTACTCAATCCGCAAAAAAAACCAGAGTGGGGTAAGCGTTGCCAAACAGCCACACACCCCCACGACGGATCCGGCGTGCGGAAGTCTTCGTCCAAAAAATTGTTTGGCTCAGATGTCCACGGCACGTATGCAGAATAGGGGGGGGGGGGGGGGGGGGGGGGTGGAGGCGGTGGTGCAGTGGTTAGCGCGTTCCTAACCACTGCACCACCGAGCCGAGTTGGATTCCCGACCCACGGCGAACATGAGTGTTGAGTCATATCTAAATCGGTCCTGGGGGAGTGGTGGGCTCAGCCCCACCGCGCTTGACCATCGTGGTGAAGTAAGATCAATAACAGCCCCGTGACCGACACGGCACGGGGTGGCCTTCATCCACTGGTGGATTGAGAACGGGTGGAATGTATAACTTATGAAATATTTTATTACTCTGCTCTCAGGGCACCTTGCTTGCACTTAATTAACCATGATAATGTACACACATTACATGTACCATGCTTAAAGTTGTCAGAGTGCAGTAAAATACGCCGTTGTACTATATATCTATGCTTCCACGTCTATGCTACCCGCCTTCACCAACCCGCACTTACGCAGTGTGGTGAAGTATGGTCAAATTACCCTCACGATTACATGCATACGACACACACGGCGTGGGGAGGCCTTCATCCAGCAGTTGATTGTCTAAAGGGCTGTACATGTAAAGCACTTATATTCAGTTGGAGCCATTTAACACATAGTGAATAGTCTTTTTTAATTCACCCCTTAATCACCACCAACCACGTTCAATCCGCTGTTGGATGATCATCTCCCAAAGCCGCTTCCGCATTACTTCATAAAATGTTGAATGTATCACTTATAATTCGTATTAAATATAATGCTTCACTGGGCGACTTGCATTGAAGAGTTTTAAAGCAACGCCTCAAATATTTAAAGTATTTAGGGGTCATTTATTATTATATTTATAATTGCTCCCAATCAGGGCCGTCACGGTGATGTCGAAGCGCGGGGCCCCCCAAAGCACGGGGCCCGGGACGGTCGCCCCGATACGCCGTAGCCCAGGGGAACGGCTCCGCTCCCAATTTCCAGAGAATTCCAATTTGTATTGAAGTTTTGGAAAGAAATGTCAACTGCGTGGACTTAACGCACGTTCGCCTCACTTCAGTGGAGAGATAGTGAAGTGCTGGTTCAGGGGATTATGAAGAATCATTATAATATTACAGATCTACAATATAAATTTTTGTTATAAGATGCTCATGCTGTTAAAGAAAGGAAAGTCAATGTCTCATTATGCCTGCATCATAGGAAAAATGCTGAAGGCATAATAGAGTTGAACTTTCACTGACAACCTCACCGGAGGACCCGGAGAAACATCCACGTAATCACGGGCAGAGAGAGAGAGAGACACGCAAACTCCAAATGTACAGCAGGCGTTAAGAGTCGGGATCGAACCCACGAAACTCCTGTATACCAGGAGAGGTAGTTCACATCTCACCACCGTGGCGTCCCTGAAGGCGGGGGGGGGGGGCACTGCGCTCTGAACCCGGCCATCTGAGTTAGATTTCTGACCACGGCTAACATCAGTGGTGAGTGACATCTGAACCGGTCCCTGCTGCCTCCATCCCTCCCCCCCCCTTTCCCGCCCCTTCACCAACCCGCACTGACCAGCGTGGTTGGTGATGAATGGTCAAACAACTCCCGTGACCAACACGGCACGGAGAGATATTTAATCCAGCTGTAGATTGACAGTGTATCTTGCGAGAGTAACTTAACGGACTGAAAATGTATCGTGACTCTACGTAGCGTGCGGGTGGTCTACATTATATAGTTATTAATTTAAAGATGCTGATATCTTGACGATAACCTGAAAGTATTTTTTTTAAATATCCCATGAGTGAAGCTTTGAACTCGTGTTGGACAACCTATAGGCGAGTATGTACAAGCTAACACATGTCCTCTGATGTGTGTTTCGGGTTGTTCCCTCATGTTGTTCCGAATTATATCTAAAGTTTCGCCCCACGTGCTAGGAAGCTTCTACTTCGGGAATGGAATTGAAGATTAACGCGTAGGCTTTCGCGACCAAAATCATCCAGATTGCAGGTTTTTTTTGTGTTAGGTTGCATAAAAATATAAATGTCGTTAAACCCGCCACCACCCGACAAAGCTAATTAGTAAAGGTTGTCATGTAAGCAGAACATGCCAATTCGTTACGAGTACAGCACACCGGTATGTTGGAGAGCAATGCCACAACATTTACAATATTAGTACGACGTTTTGCTAATAATGATGAAGCTAGTTGTAATTACTGGCGAAACGTCGTACTCTGATTGTAAATGTTGTGGCTTTGCTCTCCAACACACCGGTATGTGCTGTACTAGTAACGAATTGGCACGTTCTATTTACGTGACAACTCTTACCAATTGGCTGTGTCGGGTGGTGGCGGGTTTAACAATACATTTATATATTTAAGCGATTTAACCCAAAAAAACCTGCATGATGGAATTGAAGATGTTCTCATCACGTTGGATATCGTTCCGACCAACACGCGGTACAACTAAAACACACTGCAGAGAAGCTATTCAACACAAGCGTGAAAACCTCTACGTAGTACCGGAGCTTGTTTTTATTTCATCTCAGGCTACGTCTTCCTTTTAGGGACCCACATATGAAGTCTCCCTTGATGCAGTGGAGTTCGCCCAATTCATCCACGGTTGCTTCTGACGGCGTGTGTCGTTTTATGACCCCCGTGTTAAGTACCGTTGATGAGCCCCTTCAGCTGAACAAACATCATCACCAACATCAGCGACTACCACTACGACACCCCCGTCACACGTTCCTTGCCCGTGGAATGCAAATCCTGTCAAAACAGACACTCAGCGCTCCACTCAGTCCTCTGCTCCGTGCTCCGCTCAGTGCTCCACTCACCGCTCTGCTCCGTGCTCCGCTCAGTGCTCCACTCACCGCTCCGCTCACCGCTCTGCTCCGTGCTCTGCTCAGTGCTCCACTCACCGCTCCGCTCACCGCTCTGCTCCGTGCTCTGCTCAGTGCTCTGCTCGCTGCTCTGCTCCGTGTTCCGCTCACCGCTCTGCTCCGTGCTCCACTCCAGTGATGTGCCGCACTCACAATGAACAACTGTGGAAGGGGCCAAACTTCAAGGGGTCGGCAACCAAAATAAAACGAGCCATTTTTTCCGAATTCGGTAAATAAAAACAACTCACTATGTCCAGAGCCGCAACGCACTGTGTGGTGAATCCGAGACGGCGGTCCTTAATAAATAACGGTCACGAAGCAGCAGAACTTACAAGAACCGCATGCGGCTCTGGAGACGCGGGTTTGGCCGACCCCTGGACTAATGCGATGCTTGTCACACGCCGTAAAATATTACAAATCATTCACTCAAGCGTTCTCTGAAACGAATTGTTTGGTGATGTGATGCAGCCGCGTTAGCAGTGTTGCACAAGCACAGCGAGCACAAGCAAACTCATCATGTGGTCTATTGCTTAAGTCACTAATTAACACTAATGTTCGCCACAGATGGGAATCAAAACTTCGCTTGAGGTCGCAGAATTCATAGCGCAGCACGCGAACCACTGCGCAAACGCGCCGCCGTATGTAGCCTGTACTGTATAATAAACAACGTCAAAACGCGCTGGGTACAATTAACACGTCCGTGTAAATTGTCGTAACAAGTGTAGTCGACTTAATGCCGCTTAAACAAGTGTATAGGCGACTATAAGGGATTTAGGATACCTTCGAGGAACACATCAGGGGTCATTGTCACAGCCGTGTAAGATGCATTTCTTAGCGTATCGTGAGCGCGTGTTTTATCTGGCGTATATGCTGCATCATCATCATCATCGTCGGCCATGATCAATCCGCCACCAACTCCCATGATCCTGCGATGCACACGAGCTGATTTCACCGCTTTCAATCCACACAGCAACTGTTCACCGCGTACTCCGTATACACACGGCATAGAAAAGCGCGATAGTTCTCACTCCAATTCGGATTTCACACGATATTTTATTACGTACATAGAATGGACTCAATGTCGTATAAACTCATGTGTATATACTGCATTCGGTATGCAAAGTATAGCCGATAATAATGTTGATCGAGACACAAAATTCGTGACTAAATTATATACATGCAATACAGGGCAATCCATTCATAGATACCCCACTAAACTATTTGGACTAAATTACGGTATAGATAAAAGAACAATTCAAATAAAAGCATCTGCACGCCTCCCACTAATCTCAATATAGTCAACATGTTAACACTCTGCTCTGTAAGTGTATTTTGTTTAACCAGGTCATAACTCCAGAGACCCAGGATTACTCTGTGTTGCTACAGTGACCTGGGGCCATTAGTCTTCCAGTCGGCAGGGAGCAATGATAGCTTCGCATAATCCCAACTGAGTAATTTTCGGAAAATTTGCGACGATGTGGTAACTTGCGAATAACGTCGGCAGATCCTTAACGTCCAAATGTGAAACAGACGGGCGCGTATGAATTACGATTATTTCACTCGCAGTGATAATCAGGGCGGCCGCAGGAGTCGAACCGCGAGCCTAGCCACGTGGTGAACGCGCTGTAGGTCACGTCGCCGCTTTCACAGCTTTCAAAGTAAGACAGGCGTTAGAAATCAGTGGGGGTATAAATAAATGAATCACCTTGTACAGACCCGAATGGTATGATCTTTACACTGTGATGCGCCACATGCACACAGTCGCACGCTACACACGACTGTCAATTAAACAATAAAATACATTAAATTAAAAAAATATATATATATAACAATGTTATGCAGATATAGATATGCACTTAAATTATGCCTATATGGGTTGAATGTGTTCAGCAATATAACTTTTTTTTAAAAACGTTCGTGTACTTAATTTTCATGAGTCCTCAACTCGGCCATCTGTTTTCGATTCTCGGCGACGGCGAACATCAGTGACGAGTGATATCCGAACTGCTCTTGCCTTCAATCACAAACCCCCTTTCCCCTTATCTGACCAGCGTGGTGAAGTATGGTCAAACCCTCACCCCGCCTCACGACAGACACGGGGCATGGGGGAGGTCTTCATCCAGCAGCGGACTGAAAAGGTAACATTTTTATTATGATCTCAGTAAACACCACGTGTATTAAACCGTATATCTCTCTCGCCGACTTCAGCTTTTTTCTTGCTGTGATTGTTCCACCTGATGAAGATTGCTTGTGTTGCGATCGAAACGTCGTGACTTGTTTTTATTTTATTTCTACCTACGCGACTTTACCGAAAGAATCAAAGAGTATGCATATGTTTAACATTGCACATGCATTGCCTTTGCATGTAGACATGTGTACAGCACTCTTACAGTCATGTGGGTTTTAAATCAGAATATATGATCTGTTGTTTGTGGCAATACCGAATACGTAAAAACATTGCACGGTTTTAGTAAAGCCCATATAACCCCCGCCGTAAAAAAATCCAACAAAGGAATTTGAAGAAGCTGCATACGGGTCATACTATTCAAACACGCGTCTGTGCTATGAATGCAAATCCTCTTCACTAAACAGTTCGATACCACGTATATACGTGTTGTGCGGTTATAATAATAATAATAACCGTCATGTCGTATAATCTTATTATGCTCCTGTTGTAAAGAAAATATAATTTAATCCCTTTGTCATTCCACTGCTGTATAAAGTCATCTGCGCATCCTATCAATAATTCATTTTAACGATAGAATGCTTTAAAGATTTGTTTAATATTTTATAAACTACATAGGTGTGTGCACTTATTTTGAACAATGTAATTTTTGCAAACAACAAATATTAAACCCATTACAATGTTATCACCATCATCATCGGACATGATCGATCCGCTTCTGGATGAAGGAATCCCCAAGTCAACACCACATCTGACGATCCTGCCATGTCATAACCCAACCTCGAACCTGCACATGAACTGATTTAATCGCTCCATCTCCACGATGGACGTTCTCTCTACGTATATCATCTAGACGGGTGTTATTCACTGCAAGGACCGCGGGCCACTGGTGGACCCCAGGTGGCCTTCAGTCCGGCCTCTGACGTGAAAACACCCCCCCCATCATGCTGTCAAACCCCCCCGTGGTTTCAAATGTGTGGCGGCCCTCGCACTGATGCCTTATCGGCGAAAATGCCCCCGCCCCCTCGCCACCCGCCTCTGAAAATCAGTGAAGAACCCTGATCTAGACACGATAAAATTCCAGTTGGTGGGACTGTTGCAGAAGGGCTATAAAACTATGGCCGAAAAGATGTATGCATTACTCGATGTAAATGAAAACTCGCGGCGTAAGAACTCTGTGTGCCTTGACCACATTTCACGGCCATAATTTCACACGTTGGCCTTCTGTGACCCTGCCGAAAATCAGCCTTCTCTTTGCTCGCACACCGATAGACGATACATATTACAGCGCAGTACAAGGAGAAGCGTGGCCGAGCGTGGAATGGGCTCCACAAAAGCGATGCATTCTCCAGGTGTACCGTAGTGCCTCTACAGTACGACAGCTGCGGATAAATTGTGGAAAAAAATGTGTACACGATAACCTGTTTAGTTACACGTGAAACACGCGGGTTAATGTATAATAATGTACCATAAATCTTCTAAATGACATTTAATTATATGTGTACAGTGAGGGAAAAAAGTATTTGATCCCCTGCTGATTTTGTACGTTTGCCCACTGGAAAGAAATTATCAGTCTATAATTTTAATGGTAGGTTTATTTGAACAGTGAGAGACAGAATAACAACAACAAAATCCAGAAAAACGCATGTCAAAAATGTTATAAATTGATTTGCATTTTAATGAGGGAAATAAGTATTTGACCCCTCTGCAAAACATGACTTAGTACTTGGTGGCAAAACCCTTGTTGGCAATCACAGAGGTCAGACGTTTCTTGTAGTTGGCCACCAGGTTTGCACACATCTCAGGAGGGATTTTGTCCCACTCCTCTTTGCAGATCTTCTCCAAGTCATTAAGGTTTCGAGGCTGACGTTTGGCAACTCGAACCTTCAGCTCCCTCCACAGATTTTCTTTGGGATTAAGGTCTGGAGACTGGCTAGGCCACTCCAGGACCTTGATGTGCTTCTTCTTGAGCCACTCTTTTGTTGCCTTGGCCGTGTGTTTTGGGTCATTGTCATGTTGGAATACCCATCTACGACCCATTTTCAATGCCCTGGCTGAGGGAAGGAGGTTCTCACCCAAGATTTGGCGGTACATGGCCCCGTCCATCGTCCCTTTGATGTGGTGAAGTTGTCCTGTCCCCTTAGTAGAAAAACACCCCCAAAGCATAATGTTTCCACCTCCATGTTTGACGGTGGGGATGGTGTTCTTGGGGTCATAGGCAGCATTCCTCCTCCTCCAAACACGGCGAGTTGAGTTGATGCCAAAGAGCTCCATTTTGGTCTCATCTGACCACAACACTTTCACCCCGTTGATACATTCAGATGTTCATTGGCAAACTTCAGACGGACATGTATATGTGCTTTCTTGAGCAGGGGGACCTTGCGGACGCTGCAGGATTTCAGTCCTTCACGGCGTAGTGTGTTACCAATTGTTTTCTTGGTGACTATGGTCCCAGCTGCCGTCAGATCATTGATAAGATCCTCCCGTGTAGTTCTGGGCTGATTCCTCACCGTTCTCATGATCATTGCAACTCCACGAGGTGAGATCTTGCATGGAGCCCAAGGCCGAGGGAGATTGACAGTTCTTTTGTGTTTCTTCCATTTGCGAATAATCGCACCAACTGTTGTCACCTTCTCACCAAGCTGCTTGGCAATGGTCTTGTAGCCCATTCCAGCCTTGTGTAGGTCTACAATCTTGTCCCTGACATCATTGGAGAGCTCTTTGGTCTTGGCCATGGTGGAGAGTTTGGAATCTGATTGATTGATTGTTTCTGTGGACAGGTGTCTTTTATACAGGTAACAAGCTGAGATTAGGAGCACTCCCTTTAAGAGTGTGCTCCTAATCTCAACTCGTTACATGTATAAAAGATACCTGGGAGCCAGAAATCTTTATGATTGAGAGGGGGTCAAATACCTATTGTCCTCATTAAAATGCAAATCAATTTATAACATTTTTGACATGCGTTTTTCTGGATTTTTGTTGTTGTTATTCTGTCTCTCACTGTTCAAATAAACCTACCATTAAAATTATAGACTGATCATTTCTTTGTCAGTGGGCAAACGTACAAAATCAGCAAGGGATCAAATACTTTTTTCCCTCACTCTACAATAATGGTGTGTATGCAGTGAACATGTGTGGTCATAATCAGATATCACTTATCGAAACAAGTTACGTGCCGCATGTAGCAACACGTATTTATTTAACGTTGTTTAATGTCAATTGTTGCGGGTATTTAACCCCTAGTGTTGCAAGCCTATAACGCAAATGCGTTTGCGTAGCCACACAAATAAATCTGCCGTAGCAGCCAATCAGAATCAAAATATGTATTTATACTAGAGTAATTCGATTAGCTATAAAGCTCTTATTAGAACGTTACAACAACAAACAATACAAAAACATGATAGGAGTGCAACGTATAGGAAAAATATAGGAAAATCACTAAAATAATGGACATATATATTTAAAAAAAATTTTACCAGGTAAAGCCCACTGAACAATTCGCTTCTTTTGCAGAAGTGACTTGGTCACAAACGATAGCTCAACGAAATGGCTTATCATGTGGAAATTTATAGCAGCCAAATAATATAATCAAAACGCATGTTTCATTGCCAATTTTTCGCAAAAAATCGGCCCAATTTTTTGCTTTTCTCAACATGTGAATCCGGCCACGTTAGTATGCCTACAAACTGCATGTTGTCCTGACACCACGTGTGCGTGAAAGCATCTATCCACCACCACCACCACCCCCCACCTCTCCTCCAAACATGCATCGCTTTCTCACCCATCTCCTTCAAGTCTCAACAGTCATTCCCATCCCACGACCACCACCACCACCTCCTCCACCCCCACAGCCTCGTATACATATAACGACAGCCAATGAGCCCGGTACGGCCACCTGAATACACAGCCACGGTGACCAATCCATTTGTGACGGCCGGCCAACACAAACATTGCGGCGTGAAGGCGTCGTGGCATCAGAGTAGGGGCATTACGGACAAGAGAGAGCACCTGTGCCCCATTCCGAACTTTCCCCCCCCTACGCCCCCCACGGGTTCACCCCCCGCAGGGCCCCATGCGGGTCAGCTGCCACTTTACAGCCGCCGCAATGCACCGTGTCATTGGGACCCATTAGGGGCCATTCACCACCCGCTGGGCCGGTCGCATGGCTTCAGAGCAAAAGCGGGTGGAGGAAGAGGTGGAGGAGGAGGTGGTGGTGGTGGTGGAGAAAAGCACCCTGCTTTTACCAGTGCCACCAAAAACAACAACAATAATAATATATGTAAATAACAATATGCATCCCTTTATCTATCTACCGCTGGATGAAGGCCTCTTCCCTGGCCATTCGGTCATGATGGTTTGTTTGATCGCGAGCACATCATCACGCTGGTCAATGAAGGGGGTGGCTAGGATTGGTCCCGGATATCACTCGCAGCTGGTGTGAAAGCCGTGATCGGGTAGTGAACTCAAGTGGTCGAATTCATGGCAAATTAGTGCGTGAACCGCAGTCACCACTCCACCCAGCCACCAATAGTCCCAATTCTAAAACCACCACTGCCAAAACGTCCTCACCGTTGCTATACCATGACCAACACCGCATCAAAATGACCTCTACAACCAACAGAAGCACCACCAGCACCGCCACCGGTTCCAGCACAACCATCACTACAACCGCCAGCATCATCACCAGCATCGGTTCCGAGACCACATCCAACCGCCAGCACCAGCACATTCATGATTGGTATCGCAGGGAATGCCCAGGATTCCAACGATAAATCCAGCACAATTCAACGAACTGACTCATTCCTAAGCGCGTGCGTGTAAGGGCTATATGGCCGATGAGTCGAGATTCGTAACTCTAGAACGCTTAGAAATCCTACTGTGTAAAAAATATATATATAGTCTTCTGTATACATCGCTGATAGTAATGTGATTTTTTTTACTATTTTGCGTCTCGTGAAAGTTATCAGACGATAAATACTTGGTAATGTACTATACCCATCGTCACTAAGCCAATCAATTGACCTCCCGTTGAGTTTGACGCTAAAGTCAACAGAAAAAAGGCGACCACCGTTACAGGTTAATAGTTGTGTATACACGTGGCTATTCTTCATCGAAAGCAGTGCTCTTCACTAATTTTCAGACGGGGGCCACTTTTTCCGATACGGAATCACTGTGAGGGGCCGTCACACATTTGAAACCATTGGGGGTTTGACAGCAGCACGACGATGATGGGGGGGGGGGGGGGTGCCACGTGTTGTGTATTGTCTTTTGCCGCAGTAAAGGGGGCCAGACGTTTTCCAAGAGGTGGATGTACCCAGTGCCGGATTATCCTAGTAGCAAAAGTAGCATATGTTACAGGCCCCCGCGCTTTCAAGGGCCCCACGCTTTCAAGGGCCCCACGCTTTCAAGGGCCCCCGTGCCTTCAAGGGTCCCGCGCCTTCAAGGACCCCCGTGCCTTCAAGGGCCCCCGCGCCTTAAAGGGCCCCCGCGCCTTCAAGGGCCGCCGCGCTTTCAAGGGCCCCGCGCTTTCAAGGGCCCCCGTGCCTTCAAGGGCATCGCGCCTTCAAGGACCCCCGTACTTTCAAGGGCCCCCGCACCTTCAAGGGCCCCCGCGCTTTCAAGGGCCCCCGCGCTTTCAAGGGCCCCCGTGCTTTCAAGGGCCCCCGCGCCTTCAAGGGCCGCCGCGCTTTCAAGGGCCCCGCGCTTTCAAGGGCCCCCGTGCTTTCAAGGGCCCCCGTGCCTTCAAGGGCACCGCGCCTTCAAGGACCCCCGTACTTTCAAGGGCCCCCGCACCTTCAAGGGCCCCCGCGCTTTCAAGGGCCCCCGCGCTTTCAAGGGCCCCGCGCTTTCAAGGGCCCCCGTGCCTTCAAGGGCCCCGCTCCTTCAAGGACCCCCGTACTTTCAAGGGCCCCCGCGCCTTCAAGGGCCCCCGCGCTTTCAAGGGCCTCGCGCTTTCAAGGGCCCCCGCGCTTTCAAGGGCCCCGCACTTTCAAGGGCCCCCGCGCTTTCAAGGGCCCCACGCTTTCAAGGGCCCCCGCGCCTTCAAAGGCCCCGCGCTAAATGCTTTCAAGCTATCAATTCCGGTTCAGTGATTCTGCACTTGCTCTATTACTATAGTACTATACCGCCTTCGACTTTTATGAACGACTGGGTGTTTAAGTTTAGCTATTTATCATATTATCTGGCTGTATAGCAAATGAGAAATGCAATTACTTTACAATGCAAGTTAAAAATGTGTGTTTTAATATTTACACGTTTTTATTATTATTTTATTTTAGGGCCCCTTTAACATATGCTACAGGCCCGCACTAACTTTGTCCAACACTGGATGTACCCACACCCTCACCACACGCAAACCTGCCGATCGACTCACTGTAGTGGCATTGACCCATTTATTATGCGTGGGAAGGAGAGCGGAGTATTTTAGATCCATTCCACATTGTTGTAAATACATTGGAGAATGGTCTTCTTCAGGGTGTGAGAAATCCACAAGTACAAACTGGGACAATAGTTGATTTTGGGTATTGTTAAGACGACAACCGGTAACCATTTTCGAAAGTCAGCGGAATGTAAGTAGTGAATGCTCTCCTGATTCACACACGTGCTGGGCCACGGCAGGCATATGTCACCGCGAAAGGAGTCCCATGGGCTCTTTGGTTCTCAGAAACGGCAACTTTATTAATTTCTCAATTGAAAGGAGGGGTGGGGTGGGGGTACCTTGCGTTAATTGCACTAGGCAATGCTATACATGCGGTAAAGCGGTAACCGGTTTAAACCGTTATTTTTTCCAATGCGGTTACGGGGATTGCGATAAAAACCGGTTCGGACAATTATAACAGTTTAAATAAGGTTCACGACTCCTCTGCTGCTCACAATAATCCATGTGACGAGTGATCCGTGCAGGATTTATGTAGTGAGTTGTGCATACAGTACACTATGGACTATCCGTCTCGTTCTGTCTCATTTGTTGTTTATGTTAGGTTGAGGGTTTCTTCTCATTTACACATTTGACTACTGTAATTTTCATTATGCTTCAATGCTGTTCCTTTTGTTTATACCATAAAGGCCTCAACTGAAAAGTAAAAAAAATGTTCACGAAACTTGCAATACAGTAATCTAACATAATCCAATCCCCTAACGCACTCTTCATTGCAATTAGTTCATGGGCCAGCTCAGATGTTGCTACCACCTTAAGAGAAGCACATCTCTAGCAGTGTTTATTTAAATAATTATCAAATAAGAGTTGGTTTATTTGATAACCCACTAATTGTTTTGTATTGCTATCACATAATGAACTGTTGTTGAGCACATAGAGAAACAGGAAACAATAAGTGGTACCAAAAGAGAAATATCTGGTCTGGGCTCATTGACTTAATCTCTCAGAGAAGACAATGGAAACCAAATAAGATAGCAAACAAAGACTTTAGTCGTTCCGATTTATTCATATGGCTTATAGGCGTAAATTATGTGAAAAGCCACACGTTTTTATAAAGTCACCACGTAACTCTCCTGTTTATTGACCAGTGAAACACAGGATCTGGCGTGGGCCCCACGTGAACAAGTGTCTTCAAAAATGAATGAATGAATTAATCAGGCAGGCAAGGCAAGTGGCACGGCCACCTAAAGCGTCGTATCCAAGGAGGGGTCCTCGCCCCCCACCCCTTAGCGACCGCATACAAACAAGATGGCGGACGCGGAGAATGCAGAGGTCGGTGGAGCGCCGTCCGCGCTCACTCTGCACCATCCACAGCCATCGCGGGCAGACGGCGTCGGCACGCCATCGCCCCATCGCGGGCACGCACACATGCACGCACGCGCACCAGCCGATGAATCGGCAATGCAGTGATTTGTGGTGGGGGAGAGATGCGCACAGGCCGGCACGGGTTGGATATACGTCCCGGCAAGGTGGTCCACGAAGTGGTGGGAGATGTGATGGGTGGTGATTGGTGATGACGCATGGCGTGTTGTTGATGGTGGTGGTGGTGGCGCTGGCAATAATAACTTGCCGGGGTAAGTGGCGATGGCAGTAGTTGTGATGAAGGCAATGACTGGTGAAGTTTTGATGGTATTGGTTATGTGGTGGAAATGACAGTGGTGGTAGCAATGGTGGTTGGTGGTGGTGTTTACATTGGTGATGTTGATGGAGACATGATGATGACAGTCATCATGAGAGTGATAGGGGTGGTGACAGGATTGGTGGTGGTGACTGGTAATTAGTTGTAGTAACGAGGATGGCGGTGATGCAATGGTAGCATTTTTGTAGAGGACTTCTAAACTTCACTAACATAACTTGCTCAGCCTCTGATACCTCTAATCTTCAAAGTCATACATTCTTAAAACTACCTCTTGTCTTCCTTTGACCCAACCTCACATCAACATTTTTTTCAAACTATAGTTTCCATGTGCCACTTGCCATTTGTGTATTATATCTCCACCTTTTCCTTGTCTAACGACATCCCTTCATTATCCTTAATCACTCATCTCTATAATAGACTACATAAAATAATCTTGTACACATTCTTGCCTCCTCAACCTCCACTTGTAATCCACTATCTCCACTATCTCGTCCTGAAGAATGCAAATTTAGAACGCATGAAAATTTACCTCAGATAAAGGAAACAAAAGACCACAAGCTACAGGGAGAAAACATCGACTCATCCGTGCCTCACACACACACACACGTGTCAGTCAAGAGCAATTAGTCACCACGATGTGTGAACACATCTTGATGCCCACGCCCGTAAGAGAGGATAAATGAATATTAATAAAATATCATCTTGCAAACGCCCAAATAATTCAAACAGCAGGCAACCCACAACACCGAGGTTGCATTTCCATAGTTGAGTTTTACTGACATGCCCTTGGGAGTTACTTTTGACTTGCAGCAAATGCACACCATTTATGATGCACCACGTATCACAAACATTGGTGTGTCCAGAGTGAATCACTACCACATGTTCGCAAATTTCCATGATAGGCGTTTAACTGAAGGTAGGCCGTTTATAAGTGCACATATACCCCACAGTTAAGGAATTTTATAGAAGTCCTTTGACATGTTTTCATGCATATTTTTTTTGTAAATTGTAATTTAGTGCACCCGCAGTACTTACTATATTAGTATTTGCCCTCTTGTACATAATTTTAGCGAAAGATCTAAATGATCAGTTTTAACATCTACGCACTGATAAGCCCAAATAAGATTTTGAAGCAGCTGTATGAACTAAATGTTTTTATCGACTGATACCATGCAATTTGCGTAACCTCTTGCTCCCAACGCACTGTGGTCAAATATATTTACCGTCCCACATTCACTAAATAGTGCAACTGTGCAGATGCTTTGTCACCTTTCAAAGCTATTGAAATATTACAATGTGAACCATATAGGTTTGCAATTCAGTTGACAAGCACTGTGTGGACAGCCATTCCATGTTGCCATGACAACATGCATTTTAAATATTTGTTGAGTAAATAGGCTGCAAAGACGTCCAGTGAATATTTAAAGAGTCACAATTAAAGTCTGGTTTATTTTTTTTGTACAGAGCGAAGCCATGCCTGAAAGTCACGGTGTGGCAAAGCCTTCTGGACAGATCATGTCAGCCCCTCGTGCCAGGGCTAAGAAGGGTAAGAACACTTGACTCCCCTCCACGCCAGGCACGTTTTGCACTTGCATTTGGCAACATTTATGTCCACCCTGTGTCATGTGCAATAACGTAAAGGCAACACTGCAGCAGCAAATGAGCAGTGCGCTTAAGAGTTGCTGTTTGCAGTGCGCTCCAGAAGAGGTCACCGCTTGTAACATCACTGTTTAACAGCATTGGGGCATAGATCCCTGTACACTCAGGGGCACTGGCTGTAGATTGCTATAAGTCAGGCAAGTTTTTGCTGTTGGTTCTGTAGTTTAAAGAAAACAAGAGTGAACAAATACTTTCATTGGTTGTTCAAGACTTGTGGAATTACGATATATAGCATAGTAGTGTGTTTGAAATATTTACTTGTATGGGCGTGCAATGATATTTCCTATTTTACTTAAGTGTCTAGCCTTTTATGGGAAAGTTGATTAAATAACTGAAACAGCAAGCTCTACATGCTTCTTAGTGATGAGTGCACAGATAGGTGATTTATTTGAAGTATTGATTATGGCATAGACCATGTTTTATGGGGTTGCTTACTGCAGGATGTTGCATGCCGTTAAGGTGCAATCATATATATTTTATTTAATAACAAATAATACATTTGTCTACATCAGCAACATGTAAATTATTTACAAAATGCTGACTTCTGGTACTTCGAGAAAACATGTTTTTTGCAGGAAAAGTGATAATAGATATAATATATTACACTAGCTTGTTTGTCCATCCTAGGACGGAAGCTGTAAAATTTACGAAAAACTTGAGCAGAGTATAATTGTATCTTGTGTAAATTTAATGGCAGTGAATATTGCACGAAAGTATGTCATCAAACACTTCACTGCATTTGACTGTAGCACTATATTAATGGCAGTGAATCTGCCACAAAACTATGTCATCAAACACTTCACTTCATGTCACTGTAGCACAATATATAACTAACCTTCAATTTGTTCAAATTCACTGCTCTGATACTTTATTCTCTTCTGCTTTCGGTCGCTGGAGTTGAAAGAAATTGGAAATCGATACAATATCTGGAAAATCACTGAGAAATGTCTTTTACCACAATGTAGAAGCATCAATTAAACTTACGTTTTGTCTCAATTGCTGAAGAAATAAATAAAGACACCAAATCCACTTTGTTGCTGCGTATCATTATTTATTAGATTCACTTTCAATAAAGAAACATTAAACTTAAAGTGAATTTGCAAAAAAAAAGATTTCAGCTCGACCTTCTGATGAGTGTAAATATCCACCCGCTCATGAATATTAATGACGGGGGGGGGGGGGGCGGCATGTGGAGTGACGTCGCGCGTTACACACAGACATTCTTGGCTTATAGGAGTTCCGTTTAACACGTAGGCTTTCGCGACAAATATTATTCATAATTAAGGTTTTTGGGTTAGATCGCGTTATTTATAAATGTGTCGTAACCCCCACCACCTGACACGGCCAATCAGCAAAAAAGTGTCACGTTGACAAAAGACAAATAGTTCACTGCTTTAGCCCACCGGTGTGTGGAAGAGTGAATCCACAACATTTACAGTTTGAGTACGACGTTTCGCTGGTAATTACATCCAGAACCATTGGGCAATTCGCCAGAATGGTAAAGCCCTCACTTGCTCCCGGTCTTAAATAGAGCAGCAGGGTGACGTCATCATTTAACTCATTCAGGTGCAGTGATTTCATCTGAATGCACAAAACCCGGCCGTCCAGTTCACCATGGAAATGGAGGTGAATAACACACTCCCGTTCCTAGATATTTTGCTTGGACATGGCCTAAACGGTAAAATAACACACAGCGTTTACAGAAAGCAAACAAACACTGATGCCTATCTGAATGCAGATTCGCATCATCATCCAGCTCAGAAATCCTCTCTTATCAAGACGCTCATACATCGGGCTAAAAAAGTGTCAGATGGTGAAAGTCTAGTGAGAGAGATCAAAGACGTTAAAGAAGCATTACGACAGAATGGCTACAATAATACTCAAATTAACAGAGCACTGAATGCGAAATTACTATCGCAAAGCAACACTGCTGAAAGCGATCAGATTGTTAAAACAATTAAAATTCCATATATCTCAGGAGTAACTGACAAATTAGCCCGTGTTTTGTAAAAGCAAAAATTACAGTAAGATTTGGTATCGTACATAAAATTCAAAAACTAGTATCTTGCACTAAAGACGAATTACCTAAATTATCAACAGAAGGTGTATATCGGATTAATTGTTTATGTGGCAGATGCTATATTGGACAGACGGGATGTAACATCAGCATAAGACTAAAAGAACACCAAATAAATATTAAATTATCTCAAACACAACTGTCGGCAGTGGCAGAACATGCTTGTCAACAAGGACACTCAATTGATTTTGATAACGTTTAAGTGTTGTGTAAAACGAATTATTACTGGCAAAGACTAATTAGAGAATCCATTGAAATTGAGAGAGATAGAAATAACTTGAATCGCTCTGACAGCTACAGGCTTAGTGCGGCTTGGAAGCGTATTATTAAATAATACATATTACAATTCCTTATAGGGGAAACACATACTAATTAACGGATTACTAACGTAGCATATAATCACAATAACACACATTACAACTAATTACTAATCTACAACTCATTACTAATCAACCATTGACTGATTACCAATCGATTATATAATTACAATACCCCCCCCTCCGCCTCAAATCACTGCACCTGAATGAGTTAAATGATGACGTCACCCTGCCGCTCTATTTAAGACCGGGAGCAAGTGAGGGCTTTACCATTCTGGCGAATTGCCCGATGATGCTGGATGTAATTACCAGCGAAACGTCGTACTCAAACTGTAAATGTTGTGGATTCACTCTTCAACACACCGGTGGGCTAAAGTAGTGAACTATTTGTCTTTTGTCAACGTGACACTTTTTTGCTGATTGGCCATGTCGGGTGGTGGGGGTTACGACACATTTATAAATAACGCGATCTAACCAAAAACCCTTTATTATGAGTAGTAGTTCCGTTGACCACTTAACTTATAGAGTCAGAATGGACCATGTTCAATTCTTGTCGATTTAACAAGGACCAGACATTCTAAGGTCAACGAATTACTGTTATTGCTTAGATGGCCAGGAATAAAGTGCATATTTTTATCGAAATGTACAACCTGAATACAAAATGTGCTTTTACTAAATTCCACATTTTTGAGCAGCAAATAACTACCAGACTCACAAATACATTAAATGCTCAAAATGAACGGATTGTACTGGTATTGCCTTATTGTCCATTGGTGAATGCTTTGACAAGCCACGTTTTAGCCATCGGAGCTTCCTAGCACAGCCTCGGGAGCTGCAGTATATAGTCAGCGTGCTGCTGTGCTGCTTTAGCGTTTATAAAACAAGCTTTTGAAATATGTCCTGCTATATTTTAAACCAGACACTTATTATTCGCTACGCATAATGTGGTATGCCTGTTCACACGCGTCCAACAAGAGCTTAATTATATTCTCGGTTCTTTCAGTAAAGTCACGTAGAAGGGAAACAATATAATAATAAAAATATTAAACAATAAAGAGCTTAATTATTTATACTCACCAGGATAATTTGCAGTGCATATTTAAAATATCTTTTATGTCCAGGCCCTCCGGCCCTTGATTTTTTTTAGTCATGAGGTTTATTCTTCGTGATTGGCAAGCTGCATTGTGAGTGTGAAAGACTCACGAGACTGCACCATAAGGTAATTTGGATTTAAATCAACGCTGTCACAGATGTGGTTGCTCTCGCTATGGGGAAGCAGGCAGAATGCGCGATGTGCCGGAAATAACACCCGTTCAAATAACACATCCTCTTCTCCAAGTCCATCAACTGAGCAAATCCTGTGAAATTGGACTTTGGGAAACGCAAGTACTTGCCCTTAAAAAAAGACTGCTATTTATGCAAAACACTGAAGCGGGCTGAAAGGCTCATTCGCACATGTCCAGCAATTGCAGCTGCAGATCCAGCGTTTGTATGTTCTTATCTGCTAGCATTTGAAGGCTGCCACAAGCCATGTCCAGGCCAGATAAGGCACTCTGTCGGCTGGTAGCTCAGTGCTCCATTTGCTCTGTGCACATTTTTCACACAGCGCCTGAGATGCCCATCTTCGAGCGGCGCAACTGGCTCATCCACCAGCACTACGTCCGCAAGGATTTCGACACCTGCAAGGTAAGCAATACCACAGTCGTTCACCACTGACACAATGTCTGGAGGAGGAGGTAGAGGCATCTGTCAAATGCAGAGGCTCCTTCCTCAGTTTCCTATAGTATTTGCATCACCTATGTACAAATATCCTTTTCAGAATGGCATTTGTTGTTTTATATGCTCAAAAATATATTTTTAAAATCTAATATAAAACCAAAATAAATATTACACAGTATTATTTTGAAAAGAAAACCAAGGAAATAAACAAGCATAGATTGTATATTATTTACCAGAATTTAGTGAGAACACTGCATGATTTCTTCGTGAAAGCATGTAACTGAGTGTATGACTGTACAAAGCATACTTTGAATGTTGGTGCTAAAATAAGTCGTTATAACTTAATGGATTCATTTTTTAAAGTTACTTGTAACTATATTCTTAGCTCTTTCGGTAAAGTCACGTTGAAGGGAAACAATAAAATAATAAAATATATATAAAACAATAAAAATTATCACGACGTTTCGACCATAACACAAACGGTCATCATCAGGTGTGTCGGTTTGCATTAATTTATTTTTAAACGTATTTATTTATAAAAAACGTCAGCGCCACGCGCAGCGATTTGACAGTTTATTTAGAAGGACTAGTCAATCTATGTTCTGAAAAGAGGAGGGGGGAGACAAAAATTAATGTATGCTGTCTGAAAGCCACTGTAAGCGTGAATAATCAATTAAGACCTGAAATGGTTTATCAAATCTTTCCAATGATTGCTAAGCCAGAATCCATCTTCTCGGTTGAAATTGTCTCTGTGCTTGTATATGTGGATAGCCTCATGAACGAATCTCTCATGGTAGCCAGATGGCTTACAAAGAACCTCTGTCTTGGAAAAGTCAATGTCATGTGAGCCTACTGAATTATAACAATGATCTGCCACGGCCGAGGTGTTGGTCCTACCGTGTTTAAGGTCTGCTTTGTGTTCACGAATGCGGTCCGAGACATGGCGTTTGGTTTCTCCAATGTAACTACTACCACAGAGGCAACTTAGTTTGTAGACACCAGGGTACTGTATGTCCGGAATCACATCTTTTACAGACGGAACCAGATCACGGATTTGATGTAATGTGTTGAAACGGACCTGGATCTTGTAACTAGTTACGTCACATCTTGTTATTATGATGTTTCCAATTTCACACAACATTCACAGGATGAAAACATCAGCATCTTTTTATAGCTGTACCTGGTTCTTCTGAATTCAGTTGTGTGCGTTTTATTTAGGATTTGTCACGTGAGTTATACATGCCTTATAGTTTGTACTGCAGCCCAGTAGATGATCGCACACGTGAACGCACTTTTGACACAATTCCTTATCTGTTCTGGCTTAGTAACATACACATTTTCTTGACAAGACTGCTCATGAGCAGCCTTTTTAGTGAAGGCCACATCACATCTAATAGGTGGTTGGCTTAGTAGTCATTGCTTACCTCAAGACTCGATGTGCCATTTCCACCTCCATAATTATACGCCATTGTCCTTTGTTTTGGATATTCAATAACAGAACTTTGATTTATTTTGGTGTGTACCCAGCATATTAATTTTGGTATGCACCGTCACGTGGTGGCAGAGGAAATAATAAATGAGATGAGAAAAGCGTTCATCAAGGCTTATAAAATCAGTTTCTGGAACCAGGGCACACCTCTGGATGACTTTGCTGTTTTTTCCTGGATGTTTCTGTTGCGCATAGTCACTTTAAGATGTTCCTTATTCATGTGTTGCGGTTGTACCCGAGTCAAGAGCTGCATGGCTCACAGGGCTATACCTTATAAATGAAACTGAACTGAAACATTAAACAAACAACACTGTTGTAGTCTTAAGCGAATTCAGATGATACAGTATATTGTATATACAAGTCGAAGGATAATTTTCAGCGTTGCCTTTTATTACTGCAGGGCCTTTAAATTGTGGCAGCTACACGGTAAATTTTCCATTATATATTGCACATAATTATCCAGGTATACATTCCTCATATGACATACAATATTTTTAAGTGGGTACTGGAGCAGCAAAGCAAACAGTAAATACAACAAAATCCATTGCCAAACTCTCAATGTGAAATCACCCATATATATTTGAATGCTGCCAGTAAGTGAGTGTGGATCTGACAGTGAATTAATAGCACTGTACTATTCTCTTCTGTGTTGCGTGTGTTAATTTAATAGCGGTAAACATATTCTTGGTTTTTTCGGTATATGAATCCCTGCAGTCACGAAAGCTTTAAATCAAAAGTGGTAAACATACTTAAAACATTAACTAAAAGGATGAATATTCAAATACAATAACAATGAATAAGTATTTACAATTCATTTTCTGGCACTACACAAAAACAATATTAACTTTTCCTAACTAACATTAATAAATCATCTATTCATTTTGATGGGCTAATGTCATTTTAATTCAGTCCTTTTTTCTTGTTATCCTGTTGTTCCTACATTTATAAACCTGAACTTTGGAAGAAGATAACGTCTTTCATCAAGCCTGAGGAATATTTTGACAAATGTTGCATTAAAATCACCCTGGATGATGATCTTTTGATGCATGGTTCTGTGAGCGTGATTGGCATTTTAAACATGGAGGAATGAAAATAATCCCCTTTGTGTGAAAAGGTTATCTTGAGTTTATAATTTTCAGAGCTTGCGTGTATATTTATTTATTTTCTAGAACCATGAATACATGGTGTTGTATGTATGTTGAACTTCTTTCGCGCCATACGTAGCCAACCGTGCTCATTTTAGGTTGTATATGCAGGAATACCATAGACATTTGCATGAGTTTGTGCTTATTTTTTGGTTTTGTATATTTCAGGTTATTATTAAAGAACAGCTACAAGAGTCCCAAGGCATGTGTGAATATGCTGTGTACGTTCAAGGTAATACTCTCAACACTTTTGTCACTTGTATCTTTAATAACTGAATACATAAAAAAACGATATGGCACAGTGGTTAGTGCACTATACTCTGTACCTGGCAACCTGAGTTTCATTTCAGGCCATATCTAACTGCAATGAACCAGTCGCACCCCCAATTAGCACGTTTGGCTATATAAGGCGCGAAAGAAGTTCAACATACATACAGTCCTGGGTACGGCCTTCAGCAATCCATACTGACTAGTGTCAGCTAGTATGGTCAAACAACACCGACACGGCATGGGGATGCCTTCATCCAGCAGTAGATGGACAAAGGGCTGTGAATAATTATTGTTTGATATTGAAGACATGCATTTCAGTCGAGAAAATCACATGACAACTGAGGCGTTCATGAAAAAAGTGCATGCTTAGGGCTTGAATATTTTGGCCACACCTCTATGTGCATCCTTGCCGACTAGTATAGGCAGAGGGAGCTATGTAATTTCCATCAATGGTCATGGGAGATGGTAGCCACACTGTTGCATATGTTTATATTCACAGCCCTGATATTTCGCCTGGAGGGGAAAATCCAGGAGTCACTGGAGCTGTTTCAAACGTGCGCCATCCTCAACCCACAGAATGCAGAGAACCTCAAACAAGTGGCTCGCTCACTGTAAGCATATTTACTTTCTGTGCCCCGATGAGCATAGGTACACACATACCATCCAGCACCACCGCTGATGAGGACAATGTGTTGTGTTGGCAGGTTCCTGCTGGGAAAGCACAAGGCAGCTATTGAAGTCTACAATGAAGCAGCCAAAATGAATGAGAGGGACTGGGTAAGAGCCATTTCCCTCGATTTCGAATGTCTGATTGAACTTTGTGTGTGCTTAAAGTGTAGTGTGGCATCAATCATAACTGAGGAGGCATGCACAGATTTATCGATTAAAATGGATTATGATGCACACAGCACATGCATCAAATCGTATATGAGTGAATGTGTTTTTTATAATATATGCAAATTCTATTTTAGATGTTATTCTTACGTTACATTTATGTGATTTCAGTGAGCAAAACTGAAGGAGATGAAAACAAACAATAGAGTTTTATAAATGCATTGTCGCATCTCTGGTGGCTGCAAGGGTCATGTGATCTAATTACATGCAACAAATACATGATTTATTAATAAATTTTCGCTTGAAAAATCCCTTGAAATGGAACATCTTGTTTGCAAGGGTCTCCATATATGAATGTAAAATAATTATCTATTACACACACGGCATGAGAATCGTATTTTAATATATCAATACAACATTACACCCCGACCTCCAACTGATCACCTGTTATTGTTAAGGAAAACTTAAAATAAATCTTATTTCATCATGGAGAAACCATTTGATGAAAAATGTTCAATTGACGTATGAGTGACCATACAGTTTCCCATAATAATGTTCAAAACTGTATTAAAATTATTATTAAGCATGGCATGGTATGTATCCTCCTTAACCCTCAGGAAATCAGCCACAACCAAGGGGTGTGTTACATGTACCTAAAAGACTATGAGAAGGTAAGGCGGCGAGGTAGACGCAGATGACATGCATCTTTTGGTCAAGGGGAGATACATTGAATGAAAAAGCAGGGCTGTTATTTAATTTATTGCGAAATAAAAGTTTAATGCGTTTTTGCTCATCTGTAAGCCTGTTTAGACTTGCACTTTTTAATTTAGTTTGGCAATTAAGTTTTTGAAATTGCTGATCCTGCATGCTGATAAACGTATTAAATTGTATGCTGCAACTGTTCAAACGCCGTGCTTGATAAAGAACCAAATGCCCCAAATGTGCATCCTATGACATCACCTGCTGCTATATTTGCAAGGATTATGCTGGTTTGAAGTGAACATTGCAACATTAAAATGATGCACCCTTAAACGGTGGCACATATCGATACGCTTAATGCATCATTTGTTGCCCAAATCTTTAGCACGGACATCAGTATCATCGATTTAGAATTGCTTCTTTGGACAGGTGTCTTTTATACAGGTAACAGCTGAGATTAGGAGCACTCCCTTTAAGAGTGTGCTCCTAATCTCAGCTCGTTACCTGTATAAAAGACACCTGGGGGCCAGAAATCTTTCTGATTGAGAGGGGGTCAAATACTAATTTCTCTCATTAAAATGCAAATCAATTTATAACATGTTCGACATGCGTTTTTCTGGATTTTGTTGTTATTCTGTCTCTCACTGTTCAAATAAACATATCATTAAAATTATAGACTCATCATTTCTTTGTCAGTGGGCAAATGTACAAAATCAGCAAGGGATCAAATACTTTTTTCCCTCACTCTACATAAACGCAGCATCACAATGGTCAGCTCAGGCTGTGCGATAGCGACAATCTCAGCAGCAGAAGCAGCGCTGCCTCTAATCCTTCGCGTGACATTCTCAACAAGGGGTGACGCAGGTATGAGAGGGCGAATTGTCCGTAGGTCACGCAATCCCCGTTCCCTTCGCAGGCGAAGGAGTGCCTGAACAGCGCGTTACAGTGCAGTCGCCACGACCTGACGTCTGGCGTGCTAGGACGCGTGCACCTGCTGGAGGGCGACGCGGAGCGCGCCATCGAAGTCTACCGCCGCGCCATCGAGTGAGTTTTCGCACATCGCACTGCCCTGTCGGCCGCCACTGATCCCGGCAAAGATCTCTTGCTTTAGTCACAGCAGGATCCTAGTGACCCTACTTTAGCCCTGCTGACTGTGGGTGCCCTGTTGTAATAATTAAGAGTGGAGATTCTTACACTGGTATGCGTATGTAAGGTACTGCATATTACAGATTTATGCAGATCATATGCTTATGTTAAAATAAGCATATACAGCCCTTTGTCAATCCACTATGGATGAAGGCCTTCCCTTGCCATATCAGTCATGGGGATTGTATGACCATACTTCACGCTGGGCAGTGCATGTTTTTACTCTGAGTTCCTTGTGCAGTGCGCTAACCACTGTGCCACCGATCCACCCAAGGTTATCTTGAAGCAGAGCTGAGGCTGGATATTTATTGGATGGGTGACCACCATGTATTAAACAGGTGTTACAGGTTGCTGCAGGGTTGCGTTGTCGGTTGATGACAGTGCAGCAAAATCCACTATTGTACTGTGCTGCAATGTCTATTCTCCCCTCCACTCTACGCTGACCAGCGTGGTGAAGTATGGTGTAATAACCCCCACAACCCGCACCATGTGGGGAGGCCCATATCCTTCAGTGGATTAACAAAAGAGTTGTATATATATCAGCAACAGGATCTAAATGAAACACATTTCTTGGACACTGTTATCACATTTTTTGATGAGCAATGAACACCAGTGCATATTTGAAACATAAAGATCATAAATATCGTGCAAATTTCTCATTTAATATTTCAGATTAACTTAGTGAACTATATAATAATAATAAAAGTACAGCCTACTGTTTAGTCATAATGCAATTACAGGATCAACATAGAACTTGACAAACACAACATTTAACATTGGAAATTTTTTGGGCTTTTTGGTTTCTAAAAGGTTTTACAGAGCAGATAAGTATATATAAAATAGCCCATTTAATCGTGTCTAAAATTATTGCATGGTCTTGTAATTCCATTATTGTACAGGGTGGCCCAAAAGTAAGGACACATTGGGTTATTATATATATTTTAACAAATCAGATAGGGTTATTTAATTTTTTTTACAAATGTCCCATGAACATTAATGCAAGCATAATTCAGGATTTTTTTTTAAGATTACAGGTGTAGTCTTTGAACATTCATCAATTATGTTTTGTTCCAATTCATCCAGGGTTCTTGATCAAGTTTTGTAAACAACGAATTTGAGGTGACCCCACAGGAATAAGAACAATAGATATTCATATTGTTAATAGGTAAAATATTAATTTAATTAATTAACAATTAAAAAATGTTAATGCAAGTGTTAAAATAAATTAAAACCTTACGTGTCAAGACTTTTGTGCAACCCTCTATATTTGCCACGTGTTTTTATGTAAAGAAATGTTCCTAATCAAATTATTGGTGTTCAATAATGCATACAGTTAACAGCAGAAAAGTCCATCACTATACTTTTTCTTCACCAGGCATTCTCCAGAAAACACTGAGCTGTTGACAACTCTCGGATTGCTATACCTGCAGGTCAGCATTCATTTTATGATAAATATGTACATTTTAGAGCCGCTATGCCTCTATAAGAAATTGGGATGCATTACCTCAGGGCATTTTCTCACGAGTCAAGATTTATTATAAGCAAATCATAAGGATTGACCCCATGGCTTGCTATAATGATTTGAGGCATGGCGTGTGCTACATACAGTACAACTAATTTAACAACAATTGTTTTTTGAAAATCACAATAAATCTACAAGTCACCAGTAACGTTACAGAACATTAAATCTCAGAGATGCTCAGTTTGGAGGTCAATTTTAATTATGTTAGAACATTACTTGAGTGGCTTGATATGCACTTTGTGTTCCAGTCTGTATTAAAAATATAGTACCATAAAGACATTGCATTACTTGTGGTTGCAGATGGGGTCATACCAGAGGGCTTTTGAACATCTTGGAAATGCATTGACATATGATCCTACAAACTACAAGGTAACTGTCCAGTTGCATATCCTGTATGTATAGATTTCATTGTATATGTCTTTAAGGGTACAATGTGATAATTAATAATGCAGATTAAGACAATTGGAATATGTGACTTAGCAGTGTGTGATGCTTAGCGTGAATTACAATGTATATTTATTTTATTATTATCTGATGAGAAATGGTGGTGTAATTCACAAGACAATGTGAAGCAATTGACAAAGAATATGGAGGTCTATAAAAATAATCATTTTATGAGCAATAAAAACATGAAATATTTAATTTTAAATCGGCCACGATATTCTACAGGCAACCTGCCATGAGGCTTCCACTACAAAACCACCTAGAGCAGCCCATAATATATGAAATAAAACACACAAGTGATATGGTTGTAACACAATCTTTCAGCACAATTAGATGAAACACATGTTCTCGCAATGGATCACAAGTAGGCACATATCACATCCAGGAAGATTCATCTGTTTTAAGACAAGTGGGTTACACGGTATCACTAAACCGATGTTTTCATTCATGCGACAAGGATTTGTACTGCATATTATGGCACGCTTGTCTTCCTGCCCGTACGTCCCTAACGTCGCGTTGACGGCACGTCGCGCCCCACAGGCCATCCTGGCAGCGGGCAGCATGATGCAAACACATGGCGACTTCGACGTGGCCCTCACCAAGTACCGCGTGGCGGCGCACTCCGCTCCCGAGTCCCCGCCGCTCTGGAACAACATCGCCATGTGCTTCTTCGGCAAGAAGAAATACGTGGCTGTGAGTACCTCTGTCATTGCTGCTATATGCTGCCCCACCTTGGATAACTCCTTTGCTAACTCTCTTCCCCTTTTCCTCTTCTGCTTACGACCCTTTGTTCTGTCTAACCTGAATTTAACCCTACTTATTCCTTAGTAGTTTTTATTCTCTCCTCCCCCCTGAAACATTTCTTCATGCAAAGGAATCTTGCTCTACAAATCAAAATGTTGTTAATTGTTTTCATGAATAATACAAAATGGACCTGTGGAGACATGTGAAAGTAAAGTTTTACTGAGCTTCACCCTTCCTGATTTATTTATTCCACCATGTGTTTTCGAGTCGTGCAAATGACTGTCATTTACACAATGCTGTAGTTGTTCATCCTTCCATACACATATAGAAATTGAGGACATTTTAAATAAATGTCCTGTTTATTTGACATACGCCACCAGTATCAATGTACCATAGTATAGTGTTTAATCTTGATTTGTCACACCGTTTGTTCTTATTTAGAAAACTAAAGTGCTGTATGTTTTTTCCATTTCACTACAATAATAAACCAATGAATGCCATGCACCACTAACCATGGCCACCTTGCACTGGTTATACATCAATTACCTGAGTTTCGTCCTTCCCAGGCCATCAGCTGTCTGAAGCGGGCACACTACCTGGCACCGTTTGATGGCAAGGTGCTGTACAACCTGGGCCTCGTGCACCTGACCATGCAGCAGCACGCTTCTGCCTTCCACTTCTTGAGCGCCGCTATAAGCCTCATGCCACGCATGGGCGAGCTCTACATGCTGCTGGCAGGTATTAGTCTCAGGGGTGTGTGTACGTGAGCGCTGCACAATAAATTTCAAGAAAGACGTACATGTACAGCCCTATTGCCAACCGACTGCTGGATAAGGGCCACCCCCATGCCTGTGTGGGTCGTGTCAGTTATTTTACTGGACTTTACCACGCTGGTCGGTGCAGATTGAAGGCGGTCACGATAGACTTGGTGGGAGTACATAGTAAAGTACACTACCGTCTGCTCCCCGCAACGTAGCCCTGCATGCAGCCTATAACAACTTGCCTTGCATTGTGGTTAGCCATCCAAGCATTATCCAGGGTCAACCATACTTAGCTTCTGAGATCTGAAAAGCTTGGGCACATTGCAGGTTGATTTGGTTATACGTGCAAAGAAAGACAAAAATATAAAATGGCACTTACCAATAAATAACTACTCTGTGTCCTAGACTGCCAACTGAGAGTAAAATTTTGCAAGTGAAACACAAATATTGAAATAAATGCCAAGTGACTTTCGGAAGTGCTGCCACAGCACCCTCTAGTGATGCTAATAACTTTTAATGGCAGGTGGAGGGCTCAGCGCTACAGTTTTGTTCCAAAGTGTGGTGTAACATTACAATGTGTTGCAGCAAAAAAAAACTGCCATTGACCTCTTAAAGTGGCTTTTGGATTAAGCACTTCCATAAAATATTCAAATGTTCAAAACACTCATTTGAATATTCGATGGCAGTGCTCGACAGTTTTTCTGTCAGATTTACAGAAGCAGATTTAAACTTTCATCCTTTGTGTATCACCAGGTAAAAGACTTAAAATAATAATTTTCAATGGAGCACGCAATAGCTTGCACACGTTATTTTACTGCACAATGTGTAATTGTAGGCTGTACATGTTGGTCACAATGTGCTGCCCGTTGTTGCTCAGGTTAGAGCACAATCCGTCATTCGTCTAGCTCGCCGTGTTGCTAATGCAGTGTTTTATTTCCGTCAGTGGCTCTCAACAACTTGGGCGACCCAGAGAATGGGCGGCGAGCATACGAGCAGTCCGTCGCGCTCGATGAGTAAGTCCAAGTCGACGTATTAACTGCTGCAGTGTGTTCCTGCTGTTGTGTAGAAATTGATGAAATCCCACGTTTTTCCAGACACTTCAACATCCATGGCAGAACTACCCATATAGTTTGTTTTAATTTAGCTTCTGTTATATTTACTTGAATTGTATATAAATTGTATAATAATCTCATGTCTAAAGGAAGACGCAGCGCAAACAGCTCCTCTTATACATATATATCTCGGCTGCAAGTCCCAGGCTGTTTGGCATGACATACACATATCATGAATAATAACCTTTAATGTTAAGGGCAAGTCGATTATTATAGCACTCTCGTGGCATCCCTGTGAAGTGACATTTTATCGCCCGCTATGGTAGTACACTTTATCGTGGGCTATCACCTGGTTATACAAGATACCTACTTTTTCTCCAAAATTTCACGTATTTAAAGAAACTTATCTTTTCTATGTGTTAACAGAATCAGATGCCATACTTGGACAGAGCACGCTAATAACGTGTATAGCCCTTTGTGAGAATAATAACCATCACAGGCAATTACACAATTTTTATATTTTTGTTCTGTTTCTCTATTATATTGTGTAAATATCCATAACGAGCTTTGGTCCTTGCTTCAAAACTGCTGTAAGAGAGAGTTTCTGAAACACAGCCTATATATATCTAGAATAACTATGTTTTTGGTTGCCCCCTTCCTACGTGATACAATTTTACATATTAAATGTACCCCTGCAATATATATATTTTGGCCAAACTAGACTCATGATAACGTCATTAATTATGAATAAAATAATAATGAAATGTTATGAATGTTATAAAAAAAAATGTTCGATTAAATAAGAGCAAGAAACGTGTGTGTGTGTGATTTTACAATTATATCCGTCTTGTGTCTGCAATCGATGCGTGCAGAGTGAATCCACTGGCGAGCCTCAACTTCGCAGTGTTCCTCTACAACCAGGGGGACAAGAAGGCAGCGCTGGCACAGTTCCATGAACTCGAGGCCAAGGTGGCCAAGCAGAGGGAGGAGAATGCCAACGTCGAGTTCGATCCGGAGGTCCCCCCCCTCACCACTCAGTTGCAGCCCATGGGTTCCCCACACCCCTGCAACACAGCTCAACCCAGTCACTCACATATGTGGCCGATATGGCACGGATTGACTTGGGGGCCGTCCATATATGACGTCACGCACCTGGGGGCGGGGGGGGGGGTCAGACATTTGTGACGCCGTGTGACGAAGTGGGGGGGGGGGGGGTAAAAAAATCGTCCAAAAAAGCGTGACGTCATTTATGGACGGCCCCTTACCAAAGAAATGTTGTAACACAGCTTCGTATTTATAACATAAGAACATTACTTACTGTTCCAGAAAAGGCCCTATGACTAGCTCAATTCTTTATGTATGAAGTGTAACCATTTTAAGTTTTCCCAGTCTCCTTTCCTGCTATTAGTTATTCGTGTTTCTGCTATCGGGCACATGATATGCCCTGGTGTGTAGTCTTGGCGAGGTCTTCTATGGCATTAGGCTCCTCCAGGAGCCATCAGACTAATAGACTATCCATAATCTGTGTTTCACCGATTACCCCAATGACCAGTAGCATAAAACCATCAATTACACTGCCCTCATTTTGTACATAAATAGGCTGTGCTGACATGTTTCATGTTTCGCTCATGATAAAATACTAGTTTAAAGTTATAATAGCATTGTTATACAAGTGACATCACTAGATCACGATAATCACATGTCTGACTAACTGTAAAGTCTGTTTTTGTCACGAACAAAGAATAAAATGAATGTCGGCACAACACAGAACAGACGGCTTAGGGACGTATCGACAAATATTAACCTCTTGTCTTTTGGTGTTGCTTCATTTAAGTGTTTTCATGATGAGATTTGTGGATGCATATGACTGCACAGATGCTGGACACAGCCCACAAGCTGGGAGGTGCGCTGCAAGTTGCTGAGAGCCCCATCTGGGCCAAACCGGCCAAGGATGCCAGGCTTAAGGCACGCGCACCGGCTGCGGCCAAGCCCACTGCCCCCCAGCAGCCCCTGGGCACCAACCAGGTGCTGGGGCAGGCCATGTCCTCAGCTGCTGCATACAGCAAATCTCTCATCAGTGGTGAGACTTTTCAGAACCACACCAGAGTAGTCAGTGTAAACACCATATCTGTGAAAGCCAATTCTAACACTTTGTAAATGGCGAGAAACTTCATCAGACAGAAAAGAGTGCAGGCTGGAAATAAATAAGAGGAATTAGGTGACGTCAAATGTCATGCAGCGTATAATGGGAGGATTCTTCCAATGGTCACAATCGTGCCTTTTTCTGTCTAGAAAATACCCTTTGTGTGTATTACACCACATCTGTGTGTGAATTCACCAGCTGTCTTTAACGTTAAGGTCATAAGTGCAAATCAAGGTCACAAGTTCACTTCAAGGGTTGAATTGGCATCTTCTTTCCACAGTTGACATAATGCACACCACCTGGTGGGGCTGCAGCCATTCGATGTAAAGCCAGCAGTGGTTGTCATGGTGCACTAACTGGGCCCTGCCAGAATAATGTAAACTTTCACCACTGCCTTAAGACCACGAATATATAAGAGCACTGCCCAATGATGAAAAGGAAAATAATCTGTAACTAGTTGAATGTGAAAACAGGAGCCTCTGTAAAAGTAGTATTGGGAATCATTGAGGCTTTTGCTGAATAAAAGACTTACCATAGGAGCACTGATGAAGCGTGCACATCTATGTGGCGAGCAGTGGCAAAGGAGTACACTGCGCTGTAAACCTGATGACCCCAGTTAAATTTCTGGCTACAAATAACATCAGTGACAAGTCATATCTGAACCTGTCTTCAGCTCCTTCAAGTATGGCCAAAATAAACCTCCGTGACTGACACGGCATGCAGAGGCCTGCATCCTTCAGTGGATGGACAAAAGACTGGAAACTTACTTTTTAAATGCACAGACCTGTGTAAGTTTACTTCTAGATGATGGGTTCCTCATACTGTGCAGATTGAGGGGGTTATTTTACCATATTTCACAATACTGCAGATAGAAGATGGTAAGCTTAGATGTGGGAGCATAGAGTATAGTACGACAATGGATTTTGAATTTCCCTCTGCTGCCCACCACATAACCCAGCAGCCTTCAAACGTCCTGTGCAAGATCTAGGCTCAAACCTACTTTGCATGTCTACATGTAATAATTATCCGTCAACTTTAACTCTCATGGTGTACGTGCGTGTTCGCCGGCACACACAGGTGGAGGCTCCATGCAGACCAAGGCACATGCGATGCCTCTGGAACCTGACCCATCAGCTGTGGGAGCTCAAGAGGAAAGAGGAAGCTCTCCTTCTTCAGAGTGCCCACGGGAGTGAGCGACACACATGGGAACAGTTGCCATTCCACCTCCACTTGCTGTCACCCGACGTCCCACCAGTCCTCTACCCAAGCCATGCACATTCCCCGTTAGATGTTCCTATTTTGATCTTTTTATCATTATGTACTGTATTAAAAAAACAATGCCTCGCTGACAAAGGTGTCCACTAAGCAAGTACTATTTATATATTAAATAATATTTTTGTAGTGTTGTGTGACTTTGCATTTCCAGGTGCAAATTATATATTTATATACAGTCTTCTGACACTAGCTTAATGACTTAAGTTTCCTTAGTTGAATGTAAGTGTTTTTATATCAGTGCAGTTTGTCTAATTCATTTTCGTATAATGTGTGTTCAGTGTTGCTTTGAATATTCATTTAAACAGCCTTGAAACTGAGATCAGTACATGTTTTGGAGCAATACAAAAGGCTAGCTCAATACGTGTAGTGACAGGGTGCCGCCATCTGTTGACCATGAGGGATAACTACGGGTTTGGGTGCGCTATATAACAGCCAACCATAAGGGGGGTGTAACTGGGCCAAGGATGAGAGGCGGGGATCAGTCGGGAAGCTCCTGGAACCTGCATGAGAGTTGTAGAGGGGGGGGGCGTGACCAGAGGCAGGGCTTGGCCACGCTGAGGAGGATATAGGAGGGCGGTAACCGGAGGTTCGGGGCTGTCGGGGTTCGGGTCCTGGCTGCTGTCGCTGTCATCTCTTCATCGTCGTCCGGCCGTATCGCCGATCCGCTGTACAGTCTCCGTCATCGCTGTATAGTCAGCCAGCTACAGTGAGGGAAAAAAGTATTTGATCCCCTGCTGATTTTGTACGTTTGCCCACTGACAAAGAAATGATCAGTCTATAATTTTAATGGTAGGTTTATTTGAACAGTGAGAGACAGAATAACAACAATAAAATCCAGAAAAACGCATGTCAAAAATGTTATAAATTGATTTGCATTTTAATGAGGGAAATAAGTATTTGACCCCACTGCAAAACATGACTTAGTACTTGGTGGCAAAACCCTTGATGGCAATCACAGAGGTCAGACGTTTATTGTAGTTGGCCACCAGGTTTGCACACATCTCACAAGGATTTTGTCCCACTCCTCTTTGCAGATCTTCTCCAAGTCATTAAGGTTTTGAGGCTGACGTTTGGCAACTCGAACCTTCAGCTCCCTCCACACATTTTCTATGGGATTAAGGTCTGGAGACTGGCTAGGCCACTCCAGGACCTTAATGTGCTTCTTCTTGAGCCACTCCTGTGTTGCCTTGGCCGTGTGTTTTGGGTCATTGTCATGCTGGAATACCCATCCATGACCCATTTTCAATGCCCTGGCTGAGGGAAGGAGGTTCTCACCCAAGATTTGACGGTACATGGCCCCGTCCATAATCCCTTTGATGTGGTGAAGTTGTCCTGTCCCCTTAGCAGAAAAAACACCCCCAAAGCATGTTTCCACCTCCATGTTTGACGGTGGGGATGGTGTTCTGGGGGTCATAGGCAGCATTCCTCCTCCAAACACGGCGAGTTGAGTTGATGCCAAAGAGCTCCATTTTGGTCTCATCTGACCACAACACTTTCACCCAGTTGTCCTCTGAATCATTCAGATGTTCATTGGCAAACTTCAGACGGGCATGTGTGTGCTTTCTTGAGCAGGGGGACCTTGCGGGCGCTGCAGGATTTCAGTCCTTGACGGTGTAGTGTGTTACCAATTGTTTTCTTGGTGACTATGGTCCCAGCTGCCTTGAGATCATTGACAAGATCCTCCCTTGTAGTTCTGGGCTGATTCCTCACCGTTCTCATGATCATTGTAACTCCACGAAGTGAGATCTTGCATGGAGCCCCAGGCCAAGGGAGATTGACAGTTCTTTTGTGTTTCTGCCATTTGCGAATAATCGCACCAAACTGTTGTCATCTTCTCACCAAGCTGCTTGGCAATGGTCTTGCAGTCCATTCCAGCCTTGTGTAGGTCTACAATCTTGTCCCTGACATCCTTGGAGAGCTCTTTGGTCTTGGCCATGGTGGAGAATTTGGAATCTGATTGATTGCTTCTGTGGACAGGTGTCCTTTATACAGGTAACAAGCTGAGATTAGGAGCACTCCCTTTAAGAGTGTGCTCCTAATCTCAGCTCGTTACTTGTATAAAAGACACCTGGGAGCCAGAAATCTTTCTGATTGAGAGGGGGTCAAATACTTATTTCCCTCATTAAAATGCAAATCAATTTATAACATTTTTACATGCGTTTTTCTGGATTTTTTTGTTGTTATTCTGTCTCTCACTGTTCAAATAAACCTACCATTAAAATTATAGACTGATCATTTCTTTGTCAGTGGGCAAACGTACAAAATCAGCAGGGGATCAAATACTTTTTCCCTCACTGTATATAGTTAGACGACGTCGATGTGGCTGTATGATTGGGTCAGCTATACGTAGCGCAGTGCGTATGTTACTAAGTGACTCTGCCCGTAAAGTGTTGAGAAATAAACAAGGCGCCCTCTTCAAGTCGTGTCTCGGAAGTTGCTCATTACACATGTATTGCAAAAGAAAAGAGCCTATCGAGAATTGATGCAAATTTGTAAAAAGATCTAATATTGTATTGAAATGTAGCATCACTGAAAGTCCTGAACTGAATTTATGGTAAAAATTGCAGACAAGGTTTCTCAATTTGACAGCCTTCCATGGAATGGAAGGCTGTCAAACATGAACACTTTAATGTATCTATCCATATTTGTATTTTGAACTGACTGCAGCTTGTAAGATGTGAATACTGACGTGAAATGCAGCTGTGCAAGGCTTTAAAAGAACATCGCATTTCCCAAAATAAAATTCAAAGTATAAGTCTTTATTTTACTTCAATGACGGCACTTGCTGCCAATATTGCAACACAAATGACTGTCTTTCGGTACAGTACTCAATAAAGCATCTTGCAGCGTTTTAATGCGAATTAATGCTCAATGACTGAGGGGTGTATTTCAGCTAGGATAATCTATGTAAAATGTCTTAATTACATTCATGCAGGACATTTCAAACTGAAATGTAAGAAAACGTTTTAATATAAATATGATTTGCAAATTAAGAGGTTTCAAAATAATAGTCTATTTCATCACTGAAACATATAAACATAACATTTCCAAATTTTCTCTTTATTTTCTGGCTACATTTATGTGTAATAATATTTGGACTAACTTATAGAAATACTTCAACACTTTAAAAGTACTTTTTAGTTCAGCATTTCTTTACTATCACGTGTCATCTTAAATCTAATGTTAATATACTCACGGCAAGATTGCTTGAGATTATATCACCTTCAATTCGCCTTAATATAATTAAAATGTACCAGAGGTATTAAATGTTGAACGTTAACGCATCAATTGTTTTAAACGTATTGCGAGATGTTTTAGTTTTTTTTTGCCACAGACTATACAGCCACAACATTTCTTTGAATATCAATATCATTGCATCACTTGACAAGTGAGTCGACCAACCACCTGAAATGAAAGAGAGCTTTTTTTTGTTTAAACGACCACCCCGTGGTGCAAGTGAGGCAGCCGTTTCTATGCGGACGTCCCCGCCAGTGTTGTGCCGCTTGTCCCTTCGACGCGGCGGCGCCGCCACCACCACGGTTCGTTGCGCCCGTCTCACTTGAGCGGCGAGAAGGGAGTGGGAAGGAGAAGCTTGTTGGACTGCGCCACCACGTAGCTCACGCTCTCCCGCACTGCAAGACAGGACAAGCTGCTCGTTGCGCTGCCGGAGGGGCGGCCGATCCAACCGTGGAATTCAAATAAGATCTGCCTTCGTACATTAAAATAATCACTGGCACGAGCTGGAGGTGGCGTGACACGACATCGTGAGGCTACATCAATAAACAGCGAGGCACGGAGGTTCTTTCACATGGGCAAGTTCAAGCTTGCCCTCCGCGAACTCATTTTGTTTCGTCAGGAGGTGGAGTTTCTGCAGCAGGTTTCTGCAGCCTTACTGTACATTGGTATTCTTGTTTCGTGCATGGACTAATTCATTTCCGATAAAACACTTGAGTGGCTGGGTCACCATGCACATGTATAATTAGCCACCTCTGTAGATTACGGATCAGCAGTGGAGGTACCTTCACATGCCTCATACGTACAAGGGTAGAAGCTGTTTCCATTACAGCTGCTCATGCACCTGAGCATACATTGATACACATGGGAACATGTGCTGGGTGAGGAGGTAAGGCGAGCCTTTTGAATAGGATTAGGTATTAAGTTCTGGGTTATGTTACGAGGCAAGGATAGGGATTAGGGTAATATTATGGTATGCAAGTGTGCATCCCAACATGTGCCAGGTAGTGTGTCTACCATACGAGCATATTAACTACAACACAGACATAAACATATATAAGATGTGTGCAATTTGGATATATTTTAGAATTGAACAAAGATACATTTCAGACCATACATAGGGTTAAATCATGACTTAAAACTTTCTTGACTGCAGGAATTCATATTCTTCGTCATTTTGGTAAAGTCAGGTAGATAGAAAAAAAAATGTGAAATAATAAAAGCAAAAAAACCACAATAAAAATAGTAAAATAAAAATTTATTTAAAATAAAAGCAAGAAACCTACGACGTTATTGTAGTTTTTTGCTTTTATTATTTGAAATTTTTGTTTTGTTTCTTATTTTATGATATTCTTGGGTCTTTCGGTAAAGTCACGTAGATAGGTTCAAAGAAAATAATAAAAAAAAGAACAAAACTACGACGTTTTGATGGCAACGCAAGCGGTCGTCTTCCAAGGCAAACTGTTTATAAGCGTTTGAAATGGGCGTAGCCCCTTACAAACAGTTTCCCTTGGAAGCTAATCCATCCCCCTTTTCCTGAAGACGACCACTTGCGTTGCGATCGAAACGTCGTAGTTTTCTGTTATTTTTTTATTATTTTATTTGAACCTATCTACGTGACTTTACCGAAAGACCCAAGAATATGAATTCCTGCAGTCACGAAAGCTTTAAGTCAAGATTAAATTTTATTATTTTTATTTTTTATATCCTATCTACGTGACTTCACCAAAAGAACGAAGAATATGCAAATACATATTTGCCAGTTTCATGTTCAATTAACTTTGTAAACGTACAGTACGTCTGTCCGCTGGGATACAAAATGAGACGTGTGGAAGGGCACCATGTAAACGGGGCACAATGCGTTGGGCTGCCGTGTAGGCTTTTGGCTGGGAACTGGGTTGGTGGTGCATGTGGAAGTGAGCCAACCTGCCGCAACGACACGTGCATCTTCGTGGGCCAAGTGCCTGCCGGCCGCACGCGAGTCCGCGCTGTTGAAGTTCCACAGCACTTGCACTGCACGGGACAAGGAAAAGTAAATGTCATTTCACCGGAAGGTTTATCCATCGTGACAAAGTGTCCCTTGGCCGATCTGTTCCGGTTATGTCAACCTCTGAGTTAGAGAATGACCCATGGATGCAGATACTGCAGATCTACCTCTGAGGCCCCTTCAAGGTGACCTGGTCTACACCCTCTCCACCATATAATTTGTAACGTGCTCATTTTTTTTTCACTCTCCGCGAGAGTGAACGATTCTGCAACGAGGAATGCCACAGACAGCAAGTACTGGCACCAACAATTGTTCAAGCTCTGTGGTCTTATATTGGGATGTTTGGCCAACTCCACTAATGAGTGTTTAGACTGTACATGCGGGATAAAACTCACACTCAATTCCTCATACAGGATGGACATTGATCCACTTTCTGTACTTCAATCCCCTGCCAAGCCAGGGGATGGCAACCACAAGCTTGGAGGGAGTTTCACAAACTTGTGTCATCTAGCAAACCCTCGCCTCCTCAGTGCAGGATCACAGAGGCCTGCGCCACAAGTGCCCGGCTAAAGTATAACAGTAATGGCAATTGG